AACAAATGAATGCCAACAAAAACATAAGATTGGATGTACATGTCCTCATTTCGTCAGCGCCGGAAAGAGTCCAACGACTGAAGGGTGCTGGGCGAGGCACTTGCAGCACTCCAGGTAGCAAATCATGCAGGCCTCGCAAGGCGGAAGGCGGCCCCCGGCCAACAAGTATGCTTCTTCATGGCTTTTCCTCAAGTTGGGGACCCATTTGAAACAAAAAGAAGAAACCTGCATTTTGGGAGGCCCTATTTGTAGAAGCACCGAAAGGCAATGTGGGCATGAATTGAAATGCAATACATGGGGAGTTCTGGCCACCCTTCACTTTTATGTGGTGTCAGCGCTTGTTCGGATTGAATATATATATATATATATATATATCTATCTATATAGCCATGGAGTTAAGCCCCTTACTGCCGCAGCAAATGTCTTGCAAACCAAAAGTGTTAAGTGGGGGTATCTTTTAAGGGCACCCATGCTGAGCTTTGTGTAACTGCCACCCTTGGAGGTCCCCCAATTTTGAGACAAATCCAAGCAAAGTCTCCATGGAAGATCAATCCTTCCCTTTGGTGCGTTTCCGTGCACTGCTTGCAACTGGCTCCATTGCATTCTTGCAGTTCCCCCGTTTCCATCCAAACCTGGCTGGCGGCCCCTTGGGGTGACGCTTCGCAGGGTTCCGGGGCGGTCTGCGAGCCCCGGCCACGAGCATGAAGATCAGCGCCAGGCACTCCGCGGTGGTCCCCGTGGCGACGTAGGGGTTGGCGCTGTCGTCCTCCTTCAGCTCAATCACCTGGACCCACCGCCCAGTCCGCCCAGTCCGCCCAGTCAGCTGTCGGCCGAGAAACAAAACACCAGCCAAACACGGAATCGGCTCCGAACAGCAGCTTGTGTGTTTCAACGTGGCACCACACGCTGCACCACACCTAGCCTCCAAACTTAAAAAATGTGAGGGCTTGCTGAAACACTGCACCACCCATTGCAAGGGACAAGAAACTGCAACATTTGATCCGTCCAAAACCGTGCCGAAGGGAGATGCAGTGGCTCTGGCCGCAATCAATGAAGACGAGGTGACCCTCTTTTCCCAACCCCCCAACTTATTGTTGACGCCTTGTTTACTTCTTGGTTCTGAGGGAACAAAAACAGGTCGGGGGCCAGAGGTCGCAAAAAGACAGGGAGCTAGGAAGCCAAAGGATCATCGGCTGATCAGACGTCGCATCGTGCGAAACCCATCGCCTTCTCTTCCTGCAGGGTCACCGCCTTCTCCTCTGGCAGCTTGGCTTGCGGAAGAGGGGGACCCGATTTGGGGTGTTTCATTTTGGAGGTACCCTTTGGTGTTTTGTGTTGGGGGAATCAAGAAATTGGCCAGGTCAAAGGGCGGGGGGGGGGGGGGGGGAATTCTGACAAAAACAAATTGGAGTCTGGAGCCAAATAGCGGCGAAAGCTGCGAAGCCGGAAGCCAGGTACAAAGCACGAGAAAACAACGTGGTGACCCAAATGCAACCAAAGGAAGGCAAAGAGAAGTTGAGCTGGCACCGAAAGTAGTTGAACCGGGACGAAAAAGAAAACTGAACGAAAACCAAACGGAAGCCCAAATAGCAACGAAAGTGAAAGGAAACCTGAGGGAAGCTGGGAAAAACACGCTCAACCAAAGCGAATAGAAAGAAAAGGCAGGGAAGCCGTAACCCAACATTTGCAAAGTAAAGCGAGTAGATACCATCAGGAAACCGAAAGGAGACGAGAAGGAAACCTCATGAAAACTGACCTCAAAAAATGCGCGTGTCCTGTTTGGGCTATGGGACTCCTGTCATTCGTGGTGGGCCTTGGTAAAATAGCATGCACATAAGGAACCCTTGTTGGTAAGAAAGATGAGCGTCCCCTTGATTACTTTTGTGCGGGAAGCTTATGCCAAGTACCTTCACTTCTATCTGGGCTACCTGAATCCAAGAAGATACTGTGGGGATTCCGAACGATGCTGAGGTCTTTGCAAAGCTGGCATGGTGAACGGATACAGTTCGCAATAGCCTTTGAACAAACAGTCTGGAACTCTCAATATAACCTTTGGGCTCGCAAACGGGATGCGTAAGCATCCTTGCCTGTACCCATGGGCCTCCTCAAACTCCCAGTGCTTTCTTGAGAACAGAACTGATTGTTGGATATTCTGCACAACCAATTACTTTCCTGCAGAAACAAGTTCGGAAAGGCCCGAGAATCCTTCAACTCAAGGATCCACCATACCGGTGGGGAAACTGCTCCTGGCACTGAAACGCGCCTTCTGGGCTGATGGTTTTTGACATGGAAACGATGTGACCACAATTCATCCAGCTGCCACATTCCAACATGGGACCTCAGAACCCAACCGCCATAACAGAGATTGCTCCCTTCAAACCAGATAGAAGCTCGCTATAAAAACTGCAAAACATACAACATGTACGAAAACCAACGTGTGTCTGACCCACGGAATCCAGACAACGGCCTCCGTTCATAATCAAACCTGGTAGTGTATCCAAGACAATGTAGCGAACCACCCGTCCCACATGATATGTATATATAATATATGTTTCCTATGGTTGGACCTGTCTCACAAGAGGCTGCAAGAGGCTAGCCGGGCTTCGGCACATGCCAGGCCTCAGTGGCCTCCGGCTGATCCTGGACCTGGCCCGCCTGAGTGATGCGTTAAAATCCACTGGAGGTCTGCGCAGAGCACCCGGAATGAGGCCAAACGGTTCCCATCACTACTTGATCACTTCAATCAATGTTCTCTGTGATAACTACAAGGGTGAAACCCAAATTCCTGACATGGGTTTGTGAACGATCTGCGACCCTGGGTTCCTATTGGCCTATCTTGAGGGGTCAAGGCAACCCTCAAGTTTTGACCACATGGCTGACCCCGATTTTGGCCAGTCACCGCAACACTCATGACCTCTGCGATGAGTCACTGAGATGTGGTTCCTGCAATTGCCACCTTACTCCTCATTGCTAGCTTGGATTGGTGAGGGGGCTTCAAGCCCCAGTTCAACATGGGCAAGCACCTAAACTCCACCATCTCAAGCATACATATATATATATATATGTGTGTGTGTGTGTCGATAGCCATCTACACTCGTCCGGTCTGTCCAGGTTGACTCTTAACAACTGTTTAAGACTGGAACCGAGCAAATCATAGTATCCCTCGCACCTCAGCTGACAAACCCCTTCCAGTAATTGTGTGGAACAGACTTTCTTGTGAGCAGCTACACACTCACACATGCATCAATTCCAGGGAGGGATAGACCAAAAGTCTCATGGCTAAGCCGCCCTTGACATGGTAGCGTCCCTGCATTCTTGTAACCGGAGGTCCCATGTCTCGCAATATGTGCTGGCAACCTTTCGCGGGCAAAAAACCAGACATTGGCCAACAGTAGACAATCAGCAGGCCAAAAGGTCGACCAACTGGACCACAGCCCAGGTAGCATCCTAGTCTGGGAAATGCATTTGGAGGGGTAGGTTTAGGGTTTGGGCGAGGGGGTGAGGAGTTGGGGATCCTGTGACACAAGGTCGTCCATTCGCCCCCTCGAGCGCCCAGCGGAAACAGAGAGGAACTCCTGAGGCTGGAGGCCAAATGAGCCGGCCCACTCGACGGTTGGATAAATGAACCCTTGCTAGAAGCCGGAAGCCACAGCTTCGATTGTGCTGACCCCTGATTGAACAACTCCCTGATTAAGAGCATGTGGTTTATGAATCAGCCGTGAACATTGCAATGGCGATTGAGGGGTGAGGCCGTTGAAAATGGACTAAACAAGTCCATGAGGCATCCCACACAGTCGCTTACGATGCATCGGGCCTTTGATGCTCTCAGGAGCATGGGCTCAAAGTCTCCCAGCTGAACAAGGGGTGCCGCAGCAACCGCCCTTGCCGGAGCGATCAGAATGCCTTGGAGCCGGTAGTCTGAATTGAAACAAACAAAGCGATGACGAGTGGAACACGCCAAATAAGCAGCTGTTTCTTCCCAGCCTATGCCACTTGCGTACGCACGACTTCACAACTGGGCGACGCAGTTCTATGCGGATGCGGCCCTGTCAGCCAAATACCAACGTGATGCAATGTGCCTTGCCTTCAAAGCGCCGCTTAAACGGCAATTGAATCCAGAAGGGCTTCCCCAGAAGACTTCTTTGTGCCCGAGGACCCCCCAAAACCACGCGTGGCGAGAAAACGACAGCCACCGTCCTGCGAGTCCGCTTGGGCGACGCAAAGCAGGACGGCAAGCACAAAGCGCCACATCGCCTCGGACAGGGATATACTTGTATAAATGTATATGCATATGTATATATATATATATGTGTACATTATATGTAGCAGGTACGGGAAGAACTTATGAAATGGGTGGTTCCTTCAAGCGTAGCGCCCACTTTTTCCCTTCAACTGCCAAAAAATGGTCTCCAATGAAAGGAAGCACCCAAATGGAATGTCTCCAAGCAACAGCGCTGTAAGGAAGCGACCTACTTTGGCCATGCTTTGATTTCTTGGCGCTACGGCAAGGCTGCAGAGCGCGACAAGCTGTGCAACAATATCTCAAGCGTGGCAAAAAAAAATGTAGCAGGCATTTGGTAGTATATGTCTGGATTGCCCAGCGCCATTACCACAAGGATGTTCATAGGTCTACCACAAACCCTGAATTTGCAAATCCAATAATTTGGGGGTCTCCATATAACGGGATACATTGCTCATCTGCCCAACTTCAGCGTCTGAGTCCATATACAGTTGTCACAATGCCCCTGGCGTCATCAGCTAAGCCTCACACTTTGCAGGAGCAGCTTGCGAGTGGACGTCACAGAGAGCGACGAGCCATAAAACTGCAGTGGTTTCAGCGCCATCGAAGGTCTGTGTCGATCCTGATCAGGTGTTCTTACAATCCCCTGTATTGGTTGCCACCATCCTAATCCAGAGTTCAGATGCTTGAAGCTGCCAATTTAAAAAAAAGGACAAGTCATGCCACGGTTTTGCAAATTCCTGGGCGTCCCGAATCTTGCCTTGCGGCCCTGCGGGTCGCACACCCGCCACCTCCGCGAGTGAAGAGCGGGTTTCTCAGCTGAAGCCGCAGCTTGTTTGAAGCAAGGGCTGAACCCACAGCGTCTGATGACATTGTTTTACGTGTACGTGTAACAACTGCTGTACTGACACTGCCGTTGTCAATGCGACGGTTGACTTCCCTCTCTTTGTTGGTTGCGCTTGGTGGTGGTGGTGGTGGTGGTGGCGGCGGCGGCGGTGGTGGTGGTGGTGGTCTTACTAATGCAAGGAGAAAAAGCAGTCATTTAGTGGAATTCCTGCTAGGATTGTTAGAAGATGGAAAATGTAGATTTCAGATGCGATAAAGAAGAAAAGCGCAAAGAAGAAATGGCAAGAGAAAATGAAAAACAAAGAACCTCTTCAACGTTGGTGGCAAACATAATGCCCTCCGCAACGCCATTCTATGAAAGATGGAATGGAATTATACTGCAACTCCCATAAACTAATTTGTCCATTCGGTAAACCATAACCCATAAATGATGCTCCCACTAACAATGCAAATAATGATTCCAGAAAACCAAGCTGTATTTGTTTGCAACGATGAAGCATGAGATATGGCTCGTCCATCATGCAGACAAATGATGCACCATTTCAATGGAAATAACGTAGACACCATCCGTGATAAAGTTCTCTGATCAACAAGACAATGCCAAAATATGCTGAATTAATATTTGATGTTGCATGTAAGCCTGAAAAGATGTCAGCGATGAATTGTAGTAAAATAGCAATTCCTCTCTAAAGAAGAAACAGATTCCAAAACAAAAATGTATGATCAGAGGACAAGGAAATGATTGCAAATGAGATTCCATTAGCAGCACATATTGAAATCTTGGACTTGTCCTTTTATTATTCATTACATTGTTCTTATCTTTTAGTATCTTTTTCTCACTGGTGGTGGTGGTAGTGGTGGGAGCTGGGGATGGCGGTTGTGCTGCTGCTGCTGCTGCTGCTGCTGCTGCTGCTGCTGCTGCTGCTGCTGCTGCTGCTGCTGCTGCTGCTGCTGCTGCTGCTGCTGCTGCTGCTGCTGCTGCTGCTGCTGCTGCTGCTGCTGCTGCTGCTGCTGGGCTGTCGTCGTTCTGCTGCATCTGCTGCTGCTAAGCCAACCAACCTAAACTCAGGGAGCCCCAAGTTTTACCATCATGTCAGATTGCCATAATCAAGAAACACGGCGTCCTTCGTCGAGTTGTTCAGATGTTCAGTTCCATCAAAAACAGGCTACACGCATGTGGGCAAGCATCATCATACAAACATTTGGTGAGAGGATTGATATGGTCCTTCTCAGAGAGTGACAGGCATGTTGCAAGAGTATATAGATGTCGACTCCTATAAGCAAGTCTGCAAGCAAAGCTTGGCCGGCGGCATCTGCTTGCCCAAGGCAGATCCTTCTATGTTCACCACGTTTGATACATTCCCTGCAATCACCCCCACTACCAAATTCCTATGAAAATCACCAGAAGAAGCCCTTTGGAGTCGCCAAAGAAGATTCCACAAAATCCTTGTGCAAGCAACGCCTCTGCAAGTTAGCCTCATTTTGCGAAGGGTGCCTGTGAATCTTGCCACGAAACAAGACCCCCATGCCCCCACAGCGGCGTGGCCTTCTGGGGCGGCCTCACACCTGCGAGGGGTAGCGCGGCTGTTTGCAAAGGGGCTTCAAGGTCTCAACCCCCTTCTTTGGGCGTGTTTAAAGCCTTGCTTGAACCGCGGTTTGCTGGCTGCACAACCCCTTTTGGTCCAAAAACCCTGCGCAACACAGGTGTCGAGCTCCCTTGCAACCCTAACCCCAAGGGTCCAGCGTTCCCTGTCGCCCAATCCGCGAGCGCGCCTGCCGGAGAGGCTGGCCTGCGCATGCGGCTACCCGCGCAAGGATGAGTCTCACCCAGGGCACGGCGGAAACTCTAACCCGCCCAACTGACAAAAACGGACGGCCTGGCTGCGCTTCATGACCCCACACCCACCCCACCCCGGAAAAAGCAAAGTCGTAGAGTGCTATAGGCTGGGATGAATGCACCGATGCAGGACTGGTGGCTTTTTCACCTCACTCCGGAGCCTGACCAAAACTCGGGCCAGCAAGCCGAGCTTGCGAATGGAATGGATCAAACCAAACGACAAGCATAATGAAACCTCCATGTCCTCAGCTTGCCGCAAGATGCTTCCGGGTCAGTGGGATCAACATGTGAGATAAGAGCTGTTCACAATTGCCGGAGTCTTGTTGCTGTGCCTGAGTGACATGTTAAAACAGGCCCGGGATTGTCAATTTCATCTACCATGCAGGGGGCAGGCACTTAGGAAGAGTGCAGGATCCATGCCAAAGGACAATACTTCGCCAGCATTGTTTTCTAACGGCGGTTCTCAATCAGCATCGATGCCCATTTGGTTTCTTCTGTTGATTTGCAGTAGCAGAAATTCCAGCAGCCGGCAAGCTCCGCGTCTGACTTTTGGGGAAGAAAGGAAAACAACAGAAAACTAGCGAGATGCTCCAACGTGTCCCTGAGCTGCATGATTGAGAGATCAACCCTGCTCCGTGAAAAACATCCGATTCCTCTTGATCACATCGAATTGATTGACTAAGTGCCACAGCCCCGCGGATAGGAGTCCTCCCCAAACAATACATTCTTTCTGACGTCGCCAAAACTCCAGAAGTATGTGGGATGATCAAACTTCCCTCAGTTCGTTGGTTCCCTTAATGCATGTCCTCACTATGGTTGCTATTGGGGAGAGTGTGCAGGACCGCCGCGGACCGCCCTTCAGAATCTGACAGTTGGTTTGGTAGCGGCGAACTCCCGCCTCGGAGTGGCCGCTGCGGGTCTGGCCGGCCTGACGCCCTCAGTCACGCCGGGAGGGCAGGGGGGATGAGGTGCAGGAAAGCCCAAATAGACCACTCACCTGAGCCTAAGCACAGAAAGGGGTGCGGGGGGGGGGGGGGAGCGCTGCGATACGAGAGCGATGCCATGTGCTGGACCTGAGGGTGAGTCCTCAGAGGATCGAGTTGCAGCGTACTCCACAGACTCCACAGGCTGCTTGCTGTTTGTCATGAGCAAAGCAGGAGAGTCCAATGCCAACGCAAGCACTCGTAAACATTAACCCAACCAGAGGAAACTTACTCTGTGATGCTTAGAATCACCTAATCATGGTTGGATGCCGTTTTGTGGGTTGATGACAACCCCAGTCAGTTCCAGAGCAGATACGTTGCATCTGCTGCTGACCACAAACGCTGGGACAGCGGCTCGCGAATCACACATTCTCCCTCAAGACACTTTTCTGTTCATCCTAGTTCCCCCAAGTGCTCAATCCTTCACAGGCAAACAATCACTCGTTTCCTTTTCGAGGATGAAAGGGAAAACCGAGCGGTTTTTCTGCGGGATTGAGTTGTCCTTTCAGGTACCCATGTCCGTGAAAAAAAAACGTCCACTGGCTTTGCAAAGTTTGAAAGCTTCCACTTTTGCATGTTCTTTCCGGCCGTGGGTGATAACTTGACTCGCAGAGACGACGGGCAAGGGAAAAACGCATGCAAATTGCCACACTAGAACTAAGCTTTTAGGTCATCTCTTCAGCATGTGTGATGAGCTTTCACTCAGGGATGTCCCAGAAAATACAAGTTGACATGTTCAGCCCCTTTCCATCCCGTGGCATTCCTAAAACTCAGAGTTGGGGCAGGTAGGCGGGTGTTTGGGGAGCCTCCAGGGGCAGCTCGAATTGCACGAGGCCTTGTCAAAAATACAAAACAAAATGTGTAATACATACATGGGCATATACAATAATCTGTGTGTGTGTGTGTGCATGCACTGAAAATGTCAGTGTAATGTGTAGGCATGTCAAGAAAGTAAAACAACTAGAAATGTGTTTATGCAATATTCTCCATCGTGTGCAAGTGGGTACAGTGCCCATTCGCCCATGGCCCTTCAGGCTGGCACGGCTGCCGGCCGCGCCTGGGCTCGTTCTCTGGTCCACCACAGGCGCATTTCCCCGTATGTACATCACCCACGAGGAAACTTCAATGTGGCAACCAAAAGACGATGCTTGACGCGCCAATGTAAAATATGCTCGCCGCTTCGGGGATAAGACTGACACATCTCGAAGAGGCATCCTACGCTTTTGGAAGGCCGGTTCCCAACGAGGTAGTCCTGAAAGGACCACCATGGGCCAAACAGACCAAACATTAAAAGATTATACAATATAATGTGTTGGTTTGCCTTGGATAGGCCAAGCAAGCAAGGGGGACTTTGCTAGGTCGAGCTACTTTTAACCATCCAAAGCTGCAAGAGGGGTCATGTTCGTGGCAGCTTCCTATCAATTCTTTTCCGACACTGCAAAGCTCAGCTGTATCTCCGAAGCGCTTCCAACGGGCCCAAAAGTGCCTTGTGCCTGCAGAGATACGGTGGATTCCCTCAATATCGCAGGTAGGTAACCGGGCAAAAACGAGGGCGCGACACGCGAAGGCGTCTTCCGCTGAGCTCCCTGCGGGCCAGGACTTTCCTTTCATCCTCGCGAAGCAGTGCACGGCGGTCGGAGTAAAGCCGAAGCTCAAGGCCCCCTTGCAGAGCGTCCGTTCTTTTCTTGATGGGAAATCCGTGCCCTTTTGAGGTGATTTTGAGGGAAGCCATTCTTGAAGCCATACGGAAAAATCATGAAGCTGCTTGTGGGGGTCCCCAGAATTTCGTGGACACCCTTGGAATAACAGCAATGTGAAAATAAGGCTCCTGCGAGACCTCATTTTCATGTATGAAAACAGAAGGGCTCGTTTGGCTTCAAGGAACTCTTTGCAGGAAAGGCCCGGGCGAATTCGAAGCATTGGGTGATAACTAGGGCAAAGCTGAGGCGCTGGCCTTGGGAGTCGGTGCCGGGAACAAAATCGTTGACTGTTGAGCCGTGAAAAGAGCGGCACGGCCAAACGTCGACGAGCGCCTGCCAAATGTCCCCTTGGCCGGCAACTGAGGTTGCCCCCCCTTCTAATCTGAACTTTTTCGTGTTCTCGTGATGTTGTTTGTAGACCCAAGACGAAGGAGCTAACGGAGAGCTCCGTCGTAAAGCCTCCAGAGATGCGGGCGACAACCCTCAAAATAAGATCTCCCTCAAGAAAACACAACATCTTAATTTATACTGCTTCTGTATTCAATGCATTTGATGTCCTATGGGGGTCCGTGTGGTGTGTGTGTGCATCTATGCAATCATTGATTCGGCAGCTATAAAAACCGAGCCAAACAATGCACCAAGCTAAGCATGTCGCCGGTCGTTGCAAACGGATCGCCCGGAAAGGTCTGTCACAGCTCTATCGCTGTCTGTCACAGCTCAATGGCTGCGGTGGAATGAGCTGCGTTGGAAGTAGTGAAGACTGTACACCAGAGTGAAATAGACAGCACAATTCCGTTTCATGTGGGTTAGAACAGGGGGTGACTAAACCAGAATGAGGAACTGTGCTATCCACTTTCACCCAACTGTACATCCCTTGAAAGGATGAGTTTAAATGCTACATTGCTGGCAAGGTCAGGTCAGCAAGAGCAACAATTATCCCTGTACACGACTGTTCCAACAGTGCCACCCACAGCAACCGCAGTACTCGCTTCCGCAGCACTCAGGACAGCGGCAGCTTGCCCGACCCCAGGGATCAAGAAGAAGCCAATCGCAAGCCCCGTAACAATAACCCCTGCAGCGATCCCCCACGCCGCCTTTGTCGCTGGACTGCACTGGCAACATCTATGGTGATCCGCATGCGCGGTGGTAACCAAGAGCATCGTGACAAGCACGCGCATCATTTTCGCACTCGAGTGCATCGCGTGAAAGTGAACACGGGGGGCACTGGTATTGAAGCCGAGAGGTTGAGCTGAAATGGCATTGAAATGAGCACATGCACGACCAATAAAGACCTACTGCTGAACTAAATTGTCTGCAACAATAGCTGATTTTTTGCAAAACCAGAAACGGCAGCATCAAGAACGATGGAAATCATGGCCGGAAATGCCAACGCTGCAGAGAACCTCAACAAGTACAAACGGGGACTACATCAAGGCACATTTACCTTTAAAAAGAAATGTGTGTGGATTCCATGTTGACTGAATATGCCGTACACCCACCAACGTCCGTCCAAACATCTTGCCGGTCTGGGACCTTGGACAGTTGATCTTTTCAGCGGCACATGGAGAAACAGCTAAGGCAAGTTCAAGAGCTGCCCCGACTGCAACTCTCTCCCGAAAGGAAACCTTCGGCCCTGGCCCGCCCGCCCAGGGGGGAGCAAGGGCACCTCCGCCACTTTGGCTCGAAGGCCTTTCAGCTCCTCGCCAGCTTCGACATTGGAGAGAAAAACCAACGGGGAAGACTCGACGAGGCAAAAAGGTGCCAAAGCCAGACCTGAAGCGGCCAAATCAACAGGACTTGGACTCAAATCTCCTTTTTGCTTCAGTCCTTTTGGGCGTAATCAATAAGTGAAACCGTTCGAATCCATTGGAGACACTTCTGTCTCAATTGGACACACTTCCTCAGTCTTAGGCCCTAGACACTGCTTTCCGATGTCGTAGCCCAGTCCGCGGGAAAACGAGGCGTTGCGGCATTTGTTTGCATCGTTGTGTGTTGAAACAAGCTGTGGCCAAGTGGGTCCATGCGAATCGTTCACCAGCAATACTAGATAAATCGTCCTCACCCCACTCAGAACTGGCCACCCCCCAGTCAATGGCCGGTCATCGAACTTCCCCTCCTAAACAAGGGCTCCGCGTCTCCGCTTCTCCTGTTCGGCCTTGTCCAGCTTCGCCTGAAGCAGCGGAGGCTCCTTCAGCACCTGCCGACGGAAGCGCCCGCAGTTACGAGTTTTGCAAAATGGTGGAACCACTGTTTTTAGTTGCTGTGTTGTTTTTTCTAAGGGGAAACCAAAGGAAACCTTCGCCATTTTGCGGACCCCCTATTTTGAGAAACGCCCTTTTGCAAAGGCACTGGCAAAGTGTTGGGTGGCTTGACTTTGGAGGTTGGAGACACTCCAACTTGGTGAACACCGAGTGCTCGCATCTCGAAACCGCCAACGGCCGAAAACCACGAAGTGGCACGTGCCGCGTGGGAGGTGAACCCCGTTCGTTTAACGATTGTCTCAAGATTGTCTACTTTGTGAGACCCGTTGGGCTGCGACAGCATGTGGCGTATGTTCCATCGAAAGGAAGTCTTCTTGTAGTCACCTCTGTCCAAATCTGAAGTGGGTCATGGACAATCTGGTCAGTTACGCCTGCCATGCTTTGTGCAAGACGTGCTTCGCAGCGATATCAGCCTGTAATTTCCTGGTAGCTCTAAGTCGCCCCTCTTGTACATGAGAACCGCCCTTCCACGTGCACCAAACAAAGCACGAACTATCTGACCACAAAAACGTACTAAGTCCACGGCAAAGAGAGAGATATATATATATATACTTCAATGAAGCCAACCACAATCTATGATAATTCTACCTGACTGCTTTGAATTTGTGTCCCCTTTTCAGGAGTACAGGCTGCTGTGAGATGCTGCACTGGGCCTGCAACCCTGTCAGCATCCTCCCCAATCCGTACTTAGCGCAAACCCGCAAATGTGTGACACCGTGGGAAATCGCAAGACTACAGGGGAAGCATCACCCCAGGGTTTTTAGGTGGTGCAGGATTTCGTCCATCCACAGTAAGGAGCCCCTTTTTGAGCTGTTGGCTTACAGGAAACCAAAAGGAGACCAACCAGTTTGGGGGACCCCAATTTTGAGGAACAACCATACTCTTGACACCCTCTCACCGGCAAGACTGCGCACCTCCCAATGTCGGCCGGGCCTCGCTCAGGTGCCAGGACTGCCGCAGCAGGGTGACTTTGGAGACCAAAGTGGGCGCCGGCAAGGTCCAAATCTCAGTCGGCGAGTTGACAAACCAATAGGTCAAAGAGGTCCATCTTCTTGTTGGACTGAGTCACTTGCCCTCAAACCAAAAAACACCTCCGAAGCAAAGTGCACAAAAACAAGCGGTTCTCCGATCTCGAGAACTGGCACCAAACCACCAAATGTACCCTTCATGGGGTCCGAGTCCCGAGTTTGTTCCCGCCAAGAGCTCGCGAAAACAACTACCCGTCTGCAGAATCCGGGTGCATAAATCTGCGGATCAAAGACCCGCCAAAAAAGCGGACACACCCAGTACTACAAATCGAGCCCTGCTCTACTTGGAAGGGTTCCGTGGCCGCTCCATGAACCACAATGGGGGAGGGACAGGCAAACTCAGATGCCGAGAATCCAGGCCACCAAATACAGCAGCGCGAGAATGATTAGGAGCGCGACCTGTGGAGGAATCCAGTATGAAAGGAACCTTCATCATGAGTGAGTTCACAAGCCCTGTTTGTGCAGTCGCCTTGTATTTTGCCTAAGTGACCGCGTCAAAATGGAGGGGAGAGACGACCCTTCGAAAAGTTGATGACCTGCTGTGCTTCAAGTCCACAGGGGGCCAGAAGCAACTTGTGCCACTGCCTAATGCAGATGGCAGCTTGAGGAAGGTTGTAGCATCCGGCCAGACAGGTGTACATGTGTTTGGACTTTTTTGTAATACCCAAATTTATGACTTTCCGCTATCTGATTGTCTCAGGCTTTCTGTTTGCCCGGTAACTTGTGTTGTTGTCGGCCGAAAAAAGGACCACGGTTTCTGGTTGCCTGGTTGATTATAGGGTGGTGTCTGGCTTGTTTTCAGTTTTTCAGGGCAAAAATCGCCAACAAGGTGATTTGCTGATTCTGCAACGCCTAAGAACCAAACGTGCAGTGCCAATCTACGATTTTGCCACGGTTCACTTTTCCACTTTGGCATTTGTGTTTATTTGTCGGATGACAATGCGAGTGCTTGTGTGTTTGACACGTGAGGTCTGTGTTTTAGAGGTTGGCAAGAAGGTGCGACGGCTTGTTTTGAACACGAGTTTCTTGACTGAGAAAATTGCCAGTTTTGTGGGTGGCAGTGCCTTTCGTCATGGGGTTGTGTCTATTGTCTCTATACGTAAACTTGGTCAAGGACGGGCTCAGGGATTTGTCCATTCATTCTAAGACAGCAAACAAAAGGCGATCTCCCGAATACCCCAGTCTTTCGTCTCCAACGTATTCCACTGGGCAGGATGGTTTTTTGTTCGCCCCATGGGACTGAACCTACGTCCTATGGGCCGGCCATGGCAAAAAAGTAAAATCTCTCTAAGACCCTGTCAGGTTTCACAATCCTTGAAGTGGCAGGTTCAAGGCGCACCACCGTCCGGTGACTCTGACCTTGAAAGGCAAGAACACTCAAACCTGTGTAAGTGGCGAAACAATCCCCGCGGGTCTGATTTGGACTGCATTGCCATGCACGGGATTTGAGCTGGGGCCGCTGCTGTACTACAGGAGAGACCTGCCAAGTGGCAAAGCAAGAACGAGGCTGGAAGGCTTCCATGGACCACAAAAAGTTCAAGCACCCTCTGAGCACAATGGAGCGTCTGCTTTCACCATACGAAAACTTGATTGGCGACAACTGTGGCGTGTCACCCTGAAACACGCTGAGACACACTGCGGCCGAGCAAGTTGGAATGCAACCCTTTAAGCTCGGCCAAGACCAGGCCGAGCACTGGGCTTCTCTGCTCTCTCTCTCTCTCTCTTATTTGAATCTCCATGCAGTCTCCAAAACGCGGTGGCAAGGCTCTCAAGAGCGGGGGCCAGTCCGGAAGAATCCTTTGAAATCGCAAATGTTCCAAGCGTCGCCAACCATGAAAGGATCCAAGGGACCGTCGCAAAGGGCCAGGAACGGCCCGTGGCAAGCCCACCCCCCCCGGCGCGCCGCAAGGAGTGGAGGCCTTCTCTTTGGACCTCGGGTGCGAATGGGCACTCGCAAAGGACTCCTTGTGTCGTTGTGGACAGAACCCCTCACTGTAATACCAAGGCCATGACTACTTTGTCACCCACTTTCCTGAGGTCCCCTGGTATCACAGAGAAGGGACCGCAGTTCCTGGCTTTGATAATCTCTAGAAATATATATATATATATATATATATATATCAGGGTGCACCTTTCCCGCTGGCATTAGAATGGCGAGTCATGCCTCCCCTAAGATCTGGGGAATCAACCAGATCCCCTCCAAGCTTAGCTGCCTCTTGGTGTCCTTCAAATGTGGTCCGAAGAGCTCCAGTTTTGGCCCGTACCCTCGCTCAGGCGAGCACAAGGAAGACGCGGCCGGAAAGGCTGCCTGCCAGGGGGTGGAAGAGCAGAACCTCCCCTTGCTCAAACGGCTCAAACTGGCCTTGTTATTTGACCATCGAAGTCACACCACAAATGGTAGATTTACGCAAAACCAGTTGCTGACTCTGATAACTACGAACACTCAAAACAATGACCCTAGTTGAGTAGATTGGGAGCAGATTTGACTCGACTACCCGGTTGAGGCTGCGAAGATGCTCGTCCTGATCTGCGTCTCAGGATCAGAGCTTCTAGAAAGTCAAGAAGGTTAGTCAGCCCCAAATCACCTCGTATCACCCCAAGTGATCCCAATTGGGTCGGCCCAAGACGAAAACGGCTTTCATGCGTAAGGAGCACTGCATGCAAAACGAACAGATGCAAATGGGCCTGCCTAGTCACAGCCACGAAGCGCAAAACCGATAGATGTCCAGCTTTCACTTTTCACTCTATTCTAAGTCGAAAGAACGTTACTGGCCAGTGCGAGCTGCAAGGCAGCAGCCTGCTACAAAGACCGAGTCCATCCTGAGCTCAAACGCACGGAGGAGCCACTCTACCATTCTCGTCCCGGCAGTGTTCGGCTTTCCTCCGCGAAAGAACCACTGCGTCTCCCACTGTGTCGTGTTGGACAAACGGCCTTCGATTCTTCAATAAAGTGGCATGAAACAGGGCTACTCTGCGTAGCAATTCCGACTCTCTGCCAAGCAAAAGGCCAGGGTCTCCGCGCTTCATCCCTATCAAATCGGCCGCCAGCCTACCGCGCAGCGCTGCAAAAACATGCTTGGTCCTGAATTAAGGGATCCATAAGTACGGAACCTTCATCATGGGTTAGCTTGCGTTGATTACCCCAAGTGCTTGCAAAAAGAAGTGCAAACAATGAGTTGTGATTCTCTTGGTGGGAGAAGTCGGCTGCACCTGTGTCACCCTTCGGGAGCCTCCTCGTCACCCTCCTCAGGCTGTCTCGACTTGCTCCGAGAGGGATCTGTGTGACCCACGCGTTGAAGAGCTAGAAAGGAGGTCAAATAGACAAACCCAGCCAAAGCACACTGGACAGGGAGCACAATGCCTACAAAGCCTTCCAAAGACAGACCAAGGCGAGAGTGAAGAAACATCCAACACTTGCACCTGGGAAGGGCAAGTATCAGTGTTGGCTGCCAGTTGGGGTGGGATCCTGAGGCGTGACATTGCTTCCAAGGAGAACATTTTGCCAAATGCAGTGTCGCTTGGGGAAATAGCCAAATGCAGTGTCGCTTGGGGAAATGGGTATTCAGGAGATGCCTTCCAACCCCAACCAAAGTGCTTTCGGAGAATGAGGTGTCCGTGGCGGTTGAAACGAACTCCTTAGGACAGACTCAGCCGTCTGAAGGAATCACATAAAAACCTCTTGGTGTGGCACAGTGAAAACTCCCTGAAGGATTTCAGGATCATTGGGCCCGACCGGAAGGCCAGGCAAGCATGCATCCCTTGAAGAGGGGCACACACAGGCAAATGGAGAATTGATTCCAGAAGCAAGCTGGCAATCCTCCGAAACAAACGGCCCAAGCCAAACCTTCTCCCATGGTGATTTGGTGCCAGTGGGTGAAATCACATGGGCAACTGCCTTCAAACCACCGGCCCCCGATCACCTCGTCCAGGCCCAAGTGCTTTTCCTGCTGTCAAAAATCCGCCCAGGTAAAACAGACAAGACAAACAAACCAAAGGATGGTGAAGCCTCGGGTGCTCGCAGAGTCGCAGACCTGTCCCTTCCGTTTCGCTCTCCTCCGTGCCGCCCCGGGAGCGCATGGCGTTGGCCAGATCTTTGGCTCCAATCGGGGTGTCAAAAATGGGCTGAAGAGCGCCGGGGTCATTTTGCACCTGGCTGTGGGGCCAAGTTGTCAGCTGCTGTCTGAGTTTCCTTCTTGCGCTTCTGAGCCGAGCATGAGGCTCTTTGTGTGGCCATATCCCGTTCCGGTTCTAACACTTGCAGGACTGTGGCTTCTTTCCAAGGCCAACCCGGCGCTGCAATGCTTGCAGATTCGTGTCCTAACATGCCACCAACCTGCTTACCGGTGAGCGCCGAGAGAGACCTTTGACGGCATGTTCCTTTGTCGTAGGCACGCTGGTGAGCCAGAAGCTTGCGACCAGTCCGAACTCCAAGGATCCCGTGTAAATAACTGATGTGACCGTTAAACTCGTCGTGCGACAAAGTAACTGAGGCGGGCTTTGCAGGCGAAAAAATGAAACTGTATACAAATGGCTAAACTAGATGCGCAACATACAGATGGATGTTTCCTGAATAGAGACCCAAAAAAAATGAGTCTCGTGGTTGCCGCTTTAACCCCATCCCGTTTCGAAGGAAGGAATCCAGATTTATGGGCCAGAATCGTGGCATGAATGCATGGACGGTTGCCTAACTCTGTAGAGTGTATGCACTTCTTGAGCACGAGACCGAAACAACAAAACCACCAGAACCCTGCCCCTTGTGGCGCGCATATCTCAACCCTGCACTTTTCAGTGGACAAAGTATATAACTGGCCCTTCATTTCTACCCAAAAAAAACGGGAACATGAATAAGCTCCCCTTCTCAGCTGGTGTTCCTTTTTTCCGAGGCCAATTGGCCGCTTGGTTCGGCGATTGGCTTCGCGTGAATTGCCCTTCTAATCAGCAGCTGTCTTTGCTCGGTGTGGCTCAAAATTGCAAATGCACCACTCCAATCCTGCTTTGTTGTGTGCCGGGATCTTTCATTTCCGCATCGGGGGCATGTCAAATAGTGAATTCATTGGGGTCCTCAACATCACATCAAACCGCCTGCTTTCTTGTAACTCCCCGAGCTGTTTGCTCAACGGATGCCCCACCTTTTCCCTCTAGGGGCATGGACACTTTTGAGCCTGCTTCAGCCTGATAGGGTCAAATGGACCACCTTCCTTTTGTGGCTCAGGGGTGTTGTTCTTCTCCATCCTGGACCGCGTTCGCACTTCTTGTTGGCGAGTGGCTTTGGCACGCTCCAAACCCTTTGGGGTCTGGCTGCCTGGCTCTTCGATCTTTGGAAGCGCGAGGGAGCCCGAGAGAGCCCAAAACAGGACCGGCCGCGGAATGCGATTTGAGGCCTTCCGCGCCCAATTGGCAGCTGAAGGCACCGATCAGCCAATGCCCGACCAAACGAGCGCGAGTCATTTTGGGCAAGCCTCGTTGCTTGCCGAAGGCAAGAGCATTGCCGGAAAACATGGGAAACACAATGCTCATGTGCATGGCAGATAGTCTCACTTGCGACCAAAAGGCCCAGAAATTCAAAGCTGAGGCTAAGTGTTTGGGTTGCCATGAATTGGCCGAAACCCGTTGGACCCAAAAGGTTGAAAGGTTGGCTTTGGGCAAGTGAGCAGTTCTGGCTAGAGGCTTTGAGCTTAGAAATAAGGAAGGTCGGCGACTCTCTCCGCGCTGCGCAAAGGTTTCTGCTGTCAACCCGTCCTTGCATTGAGGAAGAGACCTAGGTTTTAACTTGCTATGAAGCCCAATGTCACTTCAAGATGCATAGCGGGCAGTTACTCGGCGAGGCTCAGCACCGCTTAAGATCCGCCTTGGCATGCGCAAAAGTGTCGCCCATAACCTTTGATACCACAAGTGCTTAAAATCGCAGCTACACTTTGTCTGCGAAGCTGGGCATTAACTTGAGCTTGGCTCAATCGACGTCAAAACTCACTTGAGCACGCCTCAGGTGTCGCCACGCAGAAGCCACACATAGAAAGCAAGACACAAAAACTCGTCCAGCACATCTGCCCCAACCCCACCTGTCAAAAAGAGGGAGTTGTTACCTTCACAAGAACACAGGAGGTTGTTGCAGTTTCCGGGATCTTCCTGGAGTCGGATGTTGCGCAGGTCCTCTGAACCCCCCCCCAAAAGAACACAGGTTTGGGTTGGTTCCCAGAACGCCCCAGAACCAGGGGTCATTTAGGAGTCCCTGGACGGGCCAAACAATGCAACCAACTTACTGCAACTTACCAGGGCTTTGTGGCTGGATGTGGTGCACTTGCAATATATAGGTAATCTTTCACGTGATGCTCTCAATTTTGCTTCTAGAGACTTGCCTTTGTGGATCAAAGGCAAAGCCCAGGCACCTCCCCCTGACTGCCCCAACTCGAGCGGGGCTAGGAGCATCCGGAGCAAAGCCCTCTGAGTCCCTAGTCGCCGTAAAAACGCAAAGCCAGGGCCCATGAAGCCCAAGCCGCATTTGCCGCCGGGGCGAGTCTTTGCCCGACCTGGCCCACATGCAGGTTACGCCTTGTGGTCAGAACCTTGCAACAGTCCTGAGACAAACAACTCAATCTTCAACTGCGTCAAGTCGACGCAAACCCAGGCATGAATTCAGGCTTCAACAACCACTGAGACAATGACACAAGCAAACGGTAGAGGTGGGAGCACTCACTCCTTAGTAATTACCATGCAGCATTGCATGAGCCAATCTGCAAACCCGTTTTCCGTTGCACTGAAAGGCATTCCCCAAGGCCCCAAACCTGCAAACCGCCTGTCCAGCCTCAGGATGCCGTTAGGCGCTCCGCCTTTGGGGCGCATACCTGCCAAGGTCGATTCGCAGGGCGCGCAACCCGTCAGCGTGGCAAATGGCTGGAAAAGGCGGCTCCTTCCGCACCAAACAAGCCAGCTGTCTGGCAAAGAGGGCCCGTAGTAATGGTTTAGGTTGGACCCTCAATGTTTGGATCATGCGCTTCCCCACAGTCTCAAACCTAACTCGGCTCCAACAGGCAAGCTAGAACACGCTGCTGAACTTTCACACGGAACATCCTATTTCGTGCAGGCATCTCCTTTTGAGGCTTCAGCTCCTATGATAACCCGTTTTGGGGTTCCACGTTCATCTGGCGATTTGAATCCTGCCGGAGAGGCGAGCTCCTTTGGGACGGAAGCCCGGAGCGGTGGGCAATGGGAGGGCGAACAAACGGCCTATTTTGCAAAAATAAGGGTTGGAGGGTTCCAATTGAAGTGTTTGAATAACGCCTTTCACCGTTTCTCTGATCGAAGCATCTTGCAGCAAGAGCTTGCCTTGTGCATATAAGAAGCCCGATTTGTTTTTCCCCTTGAGCCCCACTGTCAACCCGTTTCCCCCGCCCTGCTCGTGCCTTCCCGCAGCTCTCGCCAGGACACCTTCTTGGCAAAGATTGCGTCCACAGCGCTCATCTTGTCGATGGCATCCTCACACAATGGCGGCCCATGGCACAGCGGCCGGCCCCTTTTTGTTTTTGCCTTTTGCTTGAGAATACATGCATTCCACTGGCAAATCAACAGGAACCTAACTGAAACCTGTGGAACCCCCCCCCATCAAAACTGACCTCAGGACACCTATGCTCAAGTTCGGTGCGCGCTCCATGGCTCCAAATGGAGTGGGCTGAAACTCTCCAACCCCGCGCAAGGGCGAAGTCCCAGCCCAAACCATATGCTTCTTCAGCGGCTTTAATCATCCCTCGTGCTTTTGGGTTTGGAACAGACCGCAAATAGGATGCGGCACCACTTCGGCTTCCGCTGATTCACCCTCAACCTCCCAGAAAGGGTACCCTTGAGCACAATGACAAAAGACACTAAAAAAAAATATACCCATGACGGCTTAGGATGCAGCAGAACACAGAGCGAGGAATCCTTTCTGAATCAAGAGAACCGCATCCCTGATGAGAGCATCGTCTTCAGGGTTCTGACGAAGAATTGGTGGGTATTGATCAGGGTCGGCGTGAACTGAGTCAGCAATGCGGCCCCAAACACTCCTGAAGCGGAAGGTAACGGCAGCATGTCGTCTTATTTTGGTGAAGTTCTCAAATCATGCGGTGAACAGGTTAGAGCTTGTGGACATTCAGGCTTGCGAATCGCACACAAAGCATCCTGACCCCAGAACATGCCTTCACCGTGGGCTGCCAATGCAACCAAAGCAGCTGCAAAGGTCTTCTTGATGACGTCGGAGATCCTCGTGTGCGCGTTTCCTTTTCATTGGGACCGGCTCGGTAGGTTGCAGAAGATTTCTGAAAGGATTGAAGCCGAAAGGAAGGGTACGCCGGGTCACCTCAAAGCAGTGGTCTAGGGAAAGTCCTTGGTAAACCACCAACCTCTGGTCCATGGTTTTTTGCCAAGACTCTTCTCCGGCTGTGCATCTACATCCCCCTCCCCGCTCATCTCCCCACCCAGCAGATTGGCCACCGCCGCCGCTGTCAGACGCCCGCCTGCTCTCGGGGTTTGAAAACAGTCAGTGCCCCTGGGAATGCACGTGAAAGAGAAACAGCTAGCTGCCAACATTGTCTTTGTCCAAAGCCTGGAAGGATGCAAGAACAGCCTGGTTTGGGGCTGCAGAAGGCTGTGGTAGTAAAGAGCCTTTGTTTGTTTCTTGGCTGGCGACTGGCGGGCAAAAACAAGTGCACATGCAAGTAGCAATTAAGCCTCTACAGCAGTCTTTGCACATGAAGCCAACACAAATATAATCAGGTTAAGCCCGGTTGCTGGAATTGTTTGTTGGTTTCTTTGTGACAACACAGTTACTTGCACAGTCCACAACACACCACATCGAGTCATCGCCATTTCGTGCGATCCCCGCAAATGAGTATGCACTGTATTTAGAGGTAGCATGGGCTGGCTCTGCAGCAGAACATATGAAGACCTTTATGTTTGTTTTTTTTTGTTGTGTTTATGCACTGCTCGGGATTGAGGTGTAGGGGTGAATGTCCCTTGGGTGGGCCTGATGCTATTGCTGACCCTGCTCTGGGTTTGGTGGGAAGTCAGTGGCTGTTGGTTTGCTTTGGGTTTGACCTCCGGTTGGCTGTTTATCTTGCTCCAAAGCTCTAAACAGCAGATTTGATGCCCCTGGTGTGGGCTTTGCCTACAGTATTGAACGAACGAGCGAGCGAGCAAGCGAGCAAACAAAGCGAACACACGCAACAATGAATGAGTGAATAAGTCAACCAGTGCACGAGTGGAGGAGTGAATGAACGGAATGCGATGGAATCGAACGGAATGGAGTGGAATGTGGAAGTAGAATGGAATGAAACATGGCATGGCATGATCACTGAATAGACATGAAATGGAAATCAACAGAAACTAAGTGAGATGGAATGGTGTGAAAGTTGAATGGACAAAAAGGAATGAAAAACGGAACGACATCAAAAATGGAATGGACTGGAAAAAAATGGAATGGAATGAACAACTAAATATCAGAATGGAACGGACAATGGAAGGGATTGAGAGATTGAATGAAATAGAAACATGGAAGGAATTGAAAACGGAACAAAAATGGGAAATGGAATGGAACGAAAAAATGTCATGAAAGAAAAAACATGAAAGGAAAGGAAGCACGAAATGGAATGAAGTCAGATGGAAAGACATGATTGGACATGAAAGAATGAATGAACGAACAAATGAACGAAGAAACTGATGAACGAAGGGATGAACGCAGGGTGGCCGCAGAAGTGCACTACTTTTTAACTTGCCGCCGGGTTCGCACTCATATGTCGCATTCCGGAAACCTGTGACCTGTGACGCCACAGTGCCCCCCTCCCCTAAACGCCGCAATTCGCGCTCTGACGCCACAATGACTCCCTCCCCCGCCCGCCCAACGCCGCATTCCCACCTGAACGCCACAGTTTGAGGCTACATTCCCCCCGGACGCTGCACACATTGTGACGCCACCCTGCATCCTGGCTGCCGCCGCATTCCGACACCACAGTCCCTCGCGCCACATAACCCCAGGACGCAAATCAACGCCACAGTCTACGAGCGCCGTTTTGTTATTTTTCCATTACTCTCTTGCGGGCGACCTCTCACTTGGAGGCCAACTGGACACTGGGTGTTCGAAAGGAACTTTAGCCCAGGGGTGAGGTTGCACATCTTCGTGTTGACAACACGTGCAGTCGCCCTCAATTCCCCGACAGAAGCGCCCGTTCCCCCCAATCTCTATCAATTTCTCTCGCGTGCGATTTTTTTTGTGCCTATCATTAACGACGCCGAACCCCAACAAGCAGCAAAAGGGAACCGTTGTATTGCGGGGACCTCATGCCAAGGCATGTTTGATTTCTTAAAAGTTTCCGGTTCCTGGCGGTTGGGGTGTCCAGCGTTGTGCCTTTATTCGGAGGGAGTGAAAGAGCCGAGGTTGAGTTGTAAAAGCCTTTTTCCTTTTCGGGCCAGGGATCTTCTGCAAGAGCCTCAGAAGGCTTCTGTTTGAAGAATGCGTGCAAGACCTTCTATACAGCTTTCATATTACTTGCGTGGTTTCCTGTCTCACTTTTGGACCACAACCGGGATCACTGGAAAGAGGTTCTGTATAAGATTTCTCTGCAAGAAGTTCTACTAATGTTTCTGCAAATTCCTGGCCAAGATCTCTGTGGAAGGATCTTGGCTGGATCTGCGGATAGGGTGTCTTGATAGGATCTCTTGGCAAGATCTGCGCACATCTCCGAGAGAACCCTCTACGACCGCTCTTTTCAGGATCTGTGGAGAGCGTCCTCAACAGGATGTCTCGAGCATGGAACCTTGCTACATCCTGCGCAAGATCTGTTGAGTGGATCTCTCTGCAGGACCAGCGAAAAATATTTGTGGAGGACTTTTGGAGCTCGCCAACAGATCTCTGGGTAGGAGGTTCTTGTTGAGGGTGAATGGGAAGCTACCCCGAACCACTAAACCACAAGGCTCCACACCAATTAGCGCACCTTACCCAAAAGGATCCAAACCACGGATCTCCAAACCACCCCAGGCTCCAAGCGAAGCTGACCTTTTGTCAGCGGGCTTTTGTGGTGGATTTGGGTACACAAAGCCGTCATGTAAAGCCTGGAGGCAACTTTCCTGGTTACAGTACTGCTTCTGTTTGCGCTGCACGTTCAGCTGTCCCGAAACGAAAGTTGGACCCCTCTACCCGATGCTTACAGGATCTTAACAGGATCTCTTGGCAATATTTGTGCGCAGGATCCATGAGAGGATCTTCTGTTTGCTGAAGCTATCTGTCTGGATCTACAAGATCTCTTGCAAGAGAATGTCTTTGCAGGTCTTCCGATGTTCAAAATTCGCACCGCGGCACAGCGAGAGCGATCCGACCGGCCCAAACCCCGCAAAGGATTGACTTTCAATGTTCAAAATGCGCGCTGCGCCAGAGTCACAGCGATCCGACCCACCCAAAGTCCAGAGGATTCACTTGCGATGCTCAGCGAGCGATCCGACCAACGGAAAGTCCGCAGCAGGCTCCTCACAACAGCGATAGCGATGCAACACACCTAAAGTCAGCAAAGGGCTGATTTCGACGCCAGATCATTCGCACCGCCGCTGCGCGAGCGATCCAACGCACATCAACCATTTCAGAATTTGCGCCCTCGAAACACACCAAATTCACCCACGCCCAACAAGAGCACCCTGATCTACGCCGGCACTGTTTGGGGAAAAACTGCGAATGACTGTTTTCAAGAAAGGTACCTAAAAGAGAACCTGCTCTTCTCAATATTGGTTTTAAGCATTGGGCCTGCCAGGGCTTTGACGAAAACTTTACCGTTGCATAGGACCATTTCATATCACGGGGACGAGATTATCATGAATGCTGGCTGAGGGGAACTCGCATTCAGGAGGGAACTCGTTCCCAATTCGTCGTTGGGGCATTCCGCTTTGGGGAATTTGTCTTCAAAATTTGTCTTCGGGGGAAACCTCGGCTTCGGGAGGAGGGAATTCGTCTTCGCAATGAGTCTTCGGGGGAGGAGTTCGGTTTTGACAAATTCGTCTTCGCAATTCGGCTTCGGGATGGAATTGGGCTTGGGGTGGAATTCGGTTCGGGGGGATTCAACTTCGGGAATTCGTATTCGCACATCCGCTTTGTTTCTGGGGGAAATGTGTCTTCGGAGTTGCTCTTCGTCTGCGGGTGGAAAGTACTACTACCCAGCGGCCATCAACAAAGGAATGGATGAATGGATGAACGAATGGATGGATGAATGGACGGAGGGAAGCAGGAATATAAGAACAAACACGTATTTGAGGGAGGGAATGCCTACTACTTCTTGGGTATAACTTCAATACTTTTGAAAGCAACGATCTTTGCCCTAGGCGTGTGTGTGTGTGCTCTGTTCGTTCATTCGCGTCGTCGAGCCACGCGTGCCCCAGGAGCCCCCCTGCCTGCAATCTTCTTGTAGCGGTCGATCTCCGCCTTGGCAGTGGCCAGCTCTCTCTTGAGCTCGGCGATCCTAGGATCTTGGCGCAGGGCAAATGGAATGTGGGCCGCTTTCCGCAGCCCCCAAACAAAAGAAGTGAAAGGTGTTTTTGGGTTGCCAAGTGAGAACTCGGCAAAACTAGCACGTAAAAAGTGATCGTGTGGTAATCACACGCAGAGGAAGTCTTTCGAGCCGAACCTGACGTACACGCATCAAGCAGCCTATTGCCCTGCTCATGCAAGAAGGAAGGAACAAATGTTGTGGCTGACATGTTGAGAGCGAACCTCCAAACGGAAGATGTCAAGCTGCGTGAGAATGTGTAAAGCCGCCAGCGGCCTAATCAACAAGCAAGCAATGAAGCAAACAAAGAACTAAACAAAACAAAACAAAACAGGCGAAAGCAACACACCACATCGCAAAAACATGCAGCATAGATCAAAACCAACAAAGAAACAATCAACAAAACAAACAAACAAACAAACAAACAAACAAACAAACAAACAAAAACAAACAAAGGAGCAATCGAACAATCAGACAATCAAACAATCAAACAACCAAACAACCAACCAACCAACCAAACCAAACCAATCCAATCCAGTCCAATCCAGTCCAATCCACTCCCCTCCACTCCACTCGACTCCACTCCACTCCACTCCACTCCAATCCAATCAACGACAAACAAACGGACATGCGTCTTGTCGCTGTGGGAGAAGGACTCCTTTCAATTCCTCTGTCCCCTGAATTCGGGAAACCCTTTTGCCATCCGCAAGTCAGTCTTTCTGCTCTGGATCTAAAAAGGTCACAGCACATTGTGATGTTGAGGCTTTTGAAGTGGTTGTGAGACTTTCAAAATACAAATCTCAAGGTTCTGGAAAGGACATAGACATGGAGGTTTGTCATCTCTCATCTTCCAGGCCCGTATATAATATCCGTCACACCGTGCCTGAGGGTGACTGGATTTGTCTCACAATGGAGCCCCAACACGGGGGGGGGTCTCATTTGCAGGTTCCGTTTCAAAACCGCTGAAAAGTCAATCTCAAAAAGGGCGCCCCCACCTCCCGCTGCACCGAATGGCGGCGGGTCCCCCGGTCCCCGAAAGTGACAACGCCGAGGTGCTCCGCTTTCTGCGCCTCGACGACCGTCTCCATCTCCACGAGCTCCTAAGCTCGGACCCCGAGAAAGGGATTCAAATGCGAAGTCTGAACATACCCCCATACCGGCCCATACCGGCCCATACCGGCCCATACCGGCCCATACCCCTGTGAGTTGACCCTCGTTGACTCCTGGCCACTAGAATGTAACACAAATGTTTGGATTGGGAACTGAAACCTACAGGCCGAGGGAAGTTTGGCACACCTACAATCGCAATCTCACACTGTTCTGCGGGAACTCGCTTTGCTGAACCAAGTCTGAAAAGGACTGCCCGTGGGGCCCCGAGGCCAGCTTTGCAAGGCTCCTCGGTGCGGCCGCCGGCGATGCCCACCCGGCTGCCTCACGTGGCACGCACGTGGCTGACACCAAACATGCGCGAAGTATAGATCCCCCCCGACCGGACCACTTGCTCATGAATGGGACGCAAGGGAGGGGGACACGCTTTGCTTCTGAAATCTTGAAATCGCCACGCTTTCTGGTCGGTTAACATGCAATGATAACAATCCACCTTGCAGTTGCGGGAATGAGTTCAAAGGCTCGGGCCCCTCCAAATGATCTACAAGAGGGTCTGCCGTCAGGTCTTTTCAACCATTGCCGTTGTTCACCTCACCCCACACGAGCCGCGTTGACTTGCTGGCATTGAAAACTGGACCGCATCCCTTTCTCTTGGTTCTGACAAACGGTTCTGCCAGAGAAACATGTAATTGCCCGAATGCACATGGTTCAGAAATGAGTAACTGGCAAAACTCACCGCCCCCAAAAGGGTCCCTTGCTTATGTCCCTCGTGCTGGTTTTCAATACTCTGGCCGTTGATTGTCGGGCCCCCAACTGCACCAACTTCGAAATGGAGAACAAAGCGAAAATCACCCCACAAAACGGTCCCAAACACCTCTCCCAAAGCTAGCTTAGCGCAAGAGGCATGAGACTCAAAAGCCCTGGCAGGCTTCTTGGTTCAACTCTTCCCTCGGGGCAGACTTTCCACTGTTGGCTGGCTGATCCTTTTTGACGGCATGAAGCCAGGACCACAACGAGAACAACCACATTTCCGCACTCCCCCGTGCTCTGCCAGGTCCATTCAACCCGCGGCTTAGCGGTTTGCGGTCAGCCTTGAAAAAGGACAGGAATTTCTACAAGGAAGGTCCCTAGCCAAGCCCCTCCCAAGTGCTGTATTGACACATTTAAGCCCTGGCCACAGGAGTGAAGACACCGAAATCACATCAGAAACTGACCCGAAGACCATCAATGACTTGACGCTTGGAAAGCTCCTGGTTTAGAATCCTCTCAAGGGACCTCTGAAGCTGGCTTTGCATGGAATCAGTGAGGATCAAGACCCCAATTCCAAGTCCTCAAGACCCTTCAAGTTCCTTGCCTCGACATTTCAATCGCCCTTTGGGATTGGAGGGAAGCAAACCGGGCCCCGCGCCCGCAATCAGCGAGGAGTGAATACCCGAGAGCTGCCTGAGATAAAATCTGAGTGGGTCTCTGAAAACTGGGAACCCAGGAGATACAAACCCCTGGTTGGCTCATAGGAAAGGTCTCCCCATGGAACATCCTGCACTTTTGGGGGGAGCACCCCCAAGAGTTGGGTGCGAAGCCACTTCCTGCGAAACCAGAGTGGCTCTGAATTCCGAACACCTGAGAGTTCGAAGCAAACAAAGGGTTGGTATTTCCCTCCTCTCTCGGTAGGTCAGAATATTTGGTTGCGTCCCATTGTTGTTGCAAGAAATCACTCCAACGGCACCATTTGGAGTCGGAGGGTTAACACTTTCCCTTTTTCTTTTCTGTTCATCCAAATCGCAAACCACAAATCCTCTGACACAAACCAGAGGTTCCTTGCTTCCCAAGAAGTGAAATTCGGAGCGAAATAGAAACTGGGATTGCGCCCCCATGTCTCCCTAAAGTTGTCAGTGGACGCAGGTATCGCCTGACATTCGCTGTTCTGAGTGAGGGACATTACATGTAGTCTTGCTTCGCAACGCACTGGACACTTGTCGAAAGGCGTGGTTGATTTTGGTTGCACTGCCCACTCTTCAACGCAGAAGAGGCCCTGCTTCGTCATCCCAACGTCCCCCAAAACTGCCCTGAAAATCAACATTGATCCCCAAAGCATTCCTAGAAGGAGGCTGTTCGCAAACTGCGGCTTCTTCGTTGGGTTTGTTAGGTTCCACACAAAGCTTCTGCTCGGTACCATTGGGAACACTGCCCGGCCGAGCTCCCGCGCTCCATTTGCCACTCGCGCTTGGCCTGAGCAAAGTCCACCTGCCCGAACGCGGCACAACAGTTCATGCACAAAAGGTTGTGAGACTAGAGCCACTTCTTCTTTAGCGGATGTGGGACTTAGTTTCCTGACACCATCTGGTCAACTTGATGCGGAGCTGCTATCAAGCTTTGCTGTTGAGGAGTGATTGTGGGCAGCTTCGATAGAAGCTCTTGATGGGTGACAGCCTCCCCATGACCTAGTCCCTAACCTTGAACCTCTGCCCCTTCATCCCTGCCTCGCGCGACAGGAAGGAAGAGCAATTTACGCGCTACAATCTGCAGGGAGCGGGAAGCCACCAGTCCAATTAAGGCACTGACGAGGCGCCCGTGGTGTCTTCCGTGTGCTTCAATGGGCAAGACCCTCTTCCCAGGCTTCGTGCAACGACATACCCGAAATCCACCGATTTGTATTTTGCTTCGGGGTGGGATTGCCCGAGACCGATGGTCCACCCCTCTGCCTGGCCGCTGGCAATGAGGATCTCCGGCGCGCAGAATGACGGGGACACAAAGACAAAGAAGTGCCTTGCCAGGCGCCAGCGAATGCGATTGCGTGTAAGCCAAAAGGAATCCTCAGAAAAACACTCCCGACATGGTATGGCTTGGCCAACAAAGCTGAACGTTCTATACCTGGAATGTTGGCAAGTGCTCATAGGTCTCGCACAACAGGATCGATCACCGCCATCCTCGATCTCAAGCGATCGGGTCTTTTTGATGTGCAAACAAGGGACCTCTCCAGGATGGTTTTGAAGGGAAACCGGCGTGAAACCGTTGGGAGAGGTGTGGCTGGTCGTGACCCATTCCATACACCTTGGCCAATATACTATATAACTGTTCCCGTGGTCAGCAGGACAATGCACCTTCTCAAGAGGACCGCCTGCGACAACTACAGGTCCACCTTGTCTTCACAAAACCCTCTGGATGTAACTACCGGCAGTTTGGAGGGGTGCCTACAATTAACACAGACCTGACATGCCATTGTAACACTTGTTTGCCTACCTGCAATATGTGGAGGGGCATCCGCTTGCAGGCAGCTAGTTTTGGAGGAGGCATCGTCTTGACACGTCCAGCGGTCGTGTCATAACCGCCATCCCGTTCTCAAATGCATGTAAATTGTCCATCTGTCCAATTGGGCCCGGAACTCAATGATAGAGGATTTTCTTATGGACATGGGATTCCCAAAGCCTCGTTTGGCTGTGACAAACTAGGGACCCCTCCAATGCCTTGAATTTGGCATTGGTTCCCTTTGAGATTGAAATAGAAACACCACTTTAAAAACCCACCATTTGGAAGAGTCCAATGCCACCAGTTCGCTTTTGCAAACCAGAAAGAGGAACCTGTTGACATGGAAAAAAGCCAACGCGCCTTTCAAAGACCAGGATGTCCTTGTGCGTCAGCTCGATGCCGGAGGTCTCTGGCTTCTGCTGCTGCCGGCAAATCCTAGCCACGTCACGGCATCGATCCGCCAGGTTTGAGCGCCATTTGCAGTATTTCGACCGCACTCTGTTTTCTCAACAAATTTGCTGGCCAGTGACACTTCCAGTGCTTGGAATGAGCACGAATTGCGGTGCCTTCACCCCCAAGATGCACGTTTGGGCAATGTCATGTGCGACACCAAGGTTCGAGATGGCAACAGACACATTGTGAATTTCAGCAATACTTCATGCTTGTGAATAAATCTCAAGTCATGATCCCGCTTGCACTTCCACCCATTTCTGCCTCACCCCCTTCTTGGTGTTTGAAGGTCGACTTGTTTGAATTTGGAGCCCTGCCTGCTCCCCTTGAAACATCACCGGCCACACGGGCAAAAAGCATTGCGACCGCCCACAAGCAAAAGCAGGGACCAGCTGAGATCGTTCCAAGCAGCTGGTCTTTCTCGTCAACGCCTGCGGAGTCGAGTAACACGAGCACTGTACGTGTTTCCTCTGCAAGGAAAATCTGAGTTCCGGCCCCGTGTTGAGAAACGTGTAGCTCCTCGTGTTCGGATATTGGTGGCAATTGTTCTTTCCCACTTGCAGGGAGTTATGAACCTGGAATAGTCATATGCTCTTGATGAGGCCAAGACATCTGCAAAACTTGTTCCGTTTCAACATGATGTTGATTGAGGCTCCATGTGGGTATTTCCTCAAAAAACAGACCCTTCAGTTCCTTCAAAAGGTGATGATGGAATTTTGAACGCGTCCGTTCAACTCTGAGCGCCGGCTTGCGGCACAAGGCGCCTTGGTCGGTCAGCAGCTGCTGCAGACTCTTGCCGTTAACGTAGGTTTTTGTAAGGCCCTCGTAGCTGGCGGCGTACAAAATGCAGTCGTCCTGAGTTGCATTTGGCAGAACCGAATGCAGCTCGTGACATTTATTCTTACACTGGACCGGAGCCGCTTCTTCCCCTGGGTTCAACGGGGGAATCGGCATCCCAACATCCAACCATTCGGAGGTCAAAATGTCAAGGCCCGCTGGCGCCAAGGACAGATCTCTCAGGCAGTGTCAGCCCTAGTCCAATGAGACCACCGAAACAAATGAGTTTCAAGACGCACCATTGTCCGGTGACCTTTTTTGAGGGCAGATTTGATCTGGTCTCCAAACAGAGAGCACAAACAAAAGACGAATGTGTTGAGCATTTTGGCTCGAGTTAGACGAAGAACGAGGCCTCATTGCTGTGGCGCTTCCCGTGAAACAGGCCCCCCAAAGGGTCTGCGCTTCCCCGCCCTCGGCTTCGACATGTTGGACCACTTGCGGAGTGACTGGGGTGGCAGTGCCCAATTGTGTCTCACACTGCTTGCTCTGGTAGCCTCTATTCGAGGGAACTGTTGCATCATGAGCTTCGAACCCTTGACAGCCATCAACCCCATGGAAAAAGTGGGGGCACTCCCGTTTTGCAATCGGAAGTGTAAGGAGATGGGTCTGTCTCAAAATGGAAAACCCATGGTAGAATGTGGAAAAGAATGGCAAGTCCTTTAATGTTAACACCCGATTAATCAGGGGTCGTAGAATAACTCAAAGTGTTTTTCGGTTTGCCACCATTGTTGATGGGGACCAGAATAACTGAAAGTTTTTTGGCCGGGGGGAAAATCAAAAAACATCCACAAATCAATTTCAATTGGTGGCCCACTTGCTTAAAAGCATTCCCCTTTGAATTGGTTGCTCCAACACAAAACCCAAAGCCAACTGAAACCTTTGAAATATGAATGCAATCCCCAGCCCTGAAACTGCAAATTCTTTATTGAACCGTGTTCAAAATGCAAACAAACAATCAGGACAAGGCTACCCCTCACAGACCCCACTGAACCAAAACAATGGCATTCTTTTGGGGGACCACATTAGTCTGCAAGCCCCCAGCCCCCCCTCCAAGAAAATAAACTATCAATTGCTTTACTCAAAAGCATTCCCCTTTCAATTGGTGGCCCGCTTGCTTAAAAGCATTCCCCTTTGAATTGGTTGCTCAAACACAAAACCCAAAGCCATCTGAAACCTCTGAAATTTGAAAGCAACCCCCAGCCCTAAAACTGCAATGTCTTTGTTAAACCGTGTTCAAAAGATGCAAAAAAAAACAATCAGGACAAGGGTACCCCTCACAGACCCCACTGAACCACAACAATGGCATTCTTTTGGGGGACCACATTAATCTGCAAGCCCCCAGCCCCCCCTCCCAGAAAATAAACTATCAATTGCTTTACTCAAAAGCATTCCCCTTTCAATTGGTGGCCCACTTGCTTAAAAGCATTCCCCTTTGAATTGGTTGCTCAAACACAAAACCCAAAGCCATCTGAAACCTCTGAAATTTGAAAGCAACCCCAGCCCTGAAACTGCAATTCTTTGTTAAACCGTGTTCAAAAAATCAGGACAAGGGTACCCCTCACAGACCCCACTGAACCACAACAATGGCATTCTTTGGGGACCACATTTGCAAGCCCCCACCCCCTCCCAGAAAATAAACTATCAATTACTTTACTCAAAAGCATTCCCCTTTCAATTGGTGGCCCACTTGCTTAAAAGCATTCCCCTTTGAATTGGTTGCTCAAACACAAAACCCAAAGCCATCTGAAACCTCTGAAATTTGAAAGCAACCCCCAGCCCTAAAACTGCAATGTCTTTGTTAGACCGTGTTCAAAAGATGCAAAAAAACAATCAGGACAAGGGTACCCCTCACAGACCCCACTGAACCACAACAATGGCATTCTTTTGGGGGACCACATTAATCTGCAAGCCCCCAGCCCCCCCTCCCAGAAAATAAACTATCAATTGCTTTACTCAAAAGCATTCCCCTTTCAATTGGTGGCCCGCTTGCTTAAAAGCATTCCCCTTTGAATTGGTTGCTCAAACACAAAACCCAAAGCCATCTGAAACCTCTGAAATTTGAAAGCAACCCCCAGCCCTAAAACTGCAATGTCTTTGTTAAACCGTGTTCAAAAGATGCAAAAAAACAATCAGGACAAGGGTACCCCTCACAGACCCCACTGAACCACAACAATGGCATTCTTTTGGGGGACCACATTAGTCTGCAAGCCCCCAGCCCCCCCTCCAGAAAATAAACTATCAATTGCTTTACTCAAAAGCATTCCCCTTTCAATTGGTGGCCCGCTTGCTTAAAAGCATTCCCCTTTGAATTGGTTGCTCAAACACAAACCCAAAGCCATCTGAAACCTCTGAAATTTGAAAGCAACCCCCAGCCCTAAAACTGCAATGTCTTTGTTAAACCGTGTTCAAAAGATGCAAAAAAACAATCAGGACAAGGGTACCCCTCACAGACCCCACTGAACCACAACAATGGCATTCTTTTGGGGGACCACATTAATCTGCAAGCCCCCAGCCCCCCCTCCCAGAAAATAAACTATCAATTGCTTTACTCAAAAGCATTCCCCTTTCAATTGGTGGCAAAAAGCATTGGTGGCCCGCTTGCTTAAAAGCATTCCCCTTTGAATTGGTTGCTCAAACACAAAACCCAAAGCCATCTGAAACCTCTGAAATTTGAAAGCAACCCCCAGCCCTAAAACTGCAATGTCTTTGTTAAACCGTGTTCAAAAGATGCAAAAAAACAATCAGGACAAGGGTACCCCTCACAGACCCCACTGAACCACAACAATGGCATTCTTTTGGGGGACCACATTAATCTGCAAGCCCCCAGCCCCCCCTCCCAGAAAATAAACTATCAATTGCTTTACTCAAAAGCATTCCCCTTTCAATTGGTGGCCCACTTGCTTAAAAGCATTCCCCTTTGAATTGGTTGCTCAAACACAAACCCAAAGCCATCTGAAACCTCTGAAATTTGAAAGCAACCCCAGCCCTAAAACTGCAATGTCTTTGTTAAACCGTGTTCAAAAGATGCAAAAAAACAATCAGGACAAGGGTACCCCTCACAGACCCCACTGAACCACAACAATGGCATTCTTTTGGGGGACCACATTAATCTGCAAGCCCCCAGCCCCCCCTCCCAGAAAATAAACTATCAATTACTTTACTCAAAAGCATTCCCCTTTCAATTGGTGGCCCGCTTGCTTAAAAGCATTCCCCTTTGAATTGGTTGCTCAAACACAAAACCCAAAGCCATCTGAAACCTCTGAAGTTTGAAAGCAACCCCCAGCCCTAAAACTGCAATGTCTTTGTTAAACCGTGTTCAAAAGATGCAAAAAAACAATCAGGACAAGGGTACCCCTCACAGACCCCACTGAACCACAACAATGGCATTCTTTTGGGGGACCACATTAATCTGCAAGCCCCCAGCCCCCCCTCCCAGAAAATAAACTATCAATTACTTTACTCAAAAGCATTCCCCTTTCAATTGGTGGCCCGCTTGCTTAAAAGCATTCCCCTTTGAATTGGTTGCTCAAACACAAAACCCAAAGCCATCTGAAACCTCTGAAATTTGAAAGCAACCCCCAGCCCTAAAACTGCAATGTCTTTGTTAAACCGTGTTCAAAAGATGCAAAAAAACAATCAGGACAAGGGTACCCCTCACAGACCCCACTGAACCACAACAATGGCATTCTTTTGGGGGACCACATTAATCTGCAAGCCCCCAGCCCCCCCTCCCAGAAAATAAACTATCAATTACTTTACTCAAAAGCATTCCCCTTTCAATTGGTGGCCCGCTTCATGAAGCTGTTCTACTAAAGTAGTATTCCAAAAAGTCTGCTCAGGAAGATGTGGCTGCAATACTAAAGTAGAATTGGGCCCCAAAATCCTCCATTGTTTGGACGTCCCAAAAGTGAGCCTACTTTCTTCCAGCGCCTCCATTGTTCCAGCACCCCGAAGCCAGCACTTCTGTGTAGCGTTGGACCAGCCGTTCAACCAAATTTCAAAGCGGGCGTGTTTCCACATTGGTCTGTCTTATTGTTGAGGTTGGTACCCCTTTTCATTTGGTTCGAAGGGAAACGAAAATGGTGGACCCCCTTGCAATTAGTACTTAAAGGGCAGCAAAAGGAAACCGTGAAACCGTTGCACGGGACCGAATTGACAGAACAGGGACCCGAGTGACACCCCGCGCCCGCATTTAGTGCCTGGTCCCGGAAGACCACGGCCAGGCTCCGCACGCCCTCCCCCAGCTCGATCTGCGGATGCTCCTACCAAAAACAAAGGGAACCAATTTGAACAAAGGGAACCAATTCCAAAAAGATAGCGCCAATTCCAAGAAGAGTAAACCTTGAAAAGAAGGAACTACAAAAACCTGGAAAGGGAATTTGGACGGTGGAGAACTGAAACTTGGGCCTGGAAAGAGGAGGCGCTCTTTCGGGGCACCCTGTCCCTTTTGAAAGAGCGACTGAGCGCCCGGCGCCAAGACCTTAGCTGTATCTGTACAGTACATTTCCCGGCTCAGCTATCAGCTGCGCAGTCTTGCAAACGCCTCCCCGGCACACCACGAAGAGCAATCAAGTGGTTTCATTGTTTTGGGTGGGAAGTCATCCACTAGGGCATGTACTAACATGGCTGTGTCAACATCAGCATAAATACCAAATCCTGCGCTGCGGCAAAAACACACCTTCAATATTTTGGTGAACGGCACTTGACCCCTTGCAAAGACAAACTATTGGGGGTCCCAAACCCCCATGTCTCTTCCACCTGCGCCAAAATGCTGTCTCCTGAAATAAGGGACCCGTAAACGTGGCAACAAGTTTCTTCTGGTTGTCTTTCAAAGCCCCTACCGCAAAGTCCGATTTCAGGAAGCAGGTGTTGGGATCGCACAAAGGTCCCTTTTGGTGTCTTTTATGTTTTTGCTCTAAAACCACCTTCCTTTAGGAAACCCGACTTTTTGGCGTCTCCCCAACCCCCTCTCCTCCAAGGTACCCTTGGCGCTGCCTGCGAAGCCAAGGCCCTAAGCAACCTGTTTGGGTGTGTCTCATGAGGGAACCCTCCAAATGGCAGCGGTTTCCTCTTGGTTTCGTTTGCAACCGACTCCAAAATTGGATTCCCAAAAAAGAAAGACACATGCGCTTTTTCATGGAGTTTGGATGTTAAGAAAATGGAAAACGTGGTAAAATCAAGAAAGCAGTGAGGCTTTCTGTCTGTGATGTAACTCTGAGATTGGTATGGAGGGGTCTGTCTCTGCGGGTACTCGGCACCACCAAGATCGGTTCATCGTCCACGCGCTTTGCAGAGGACTTGCTTTGTCACGGCAACATGTGCGTTGGTGCTTCACGGAGCCGCATACCACACCCTTCAACGCATGTTTTACATCAAAGGAGACATGTTTTACATTCAACGAGGCACTCGCTGCACTTTCAGTTTCATTTTGATGCATGCTTCGAAAACTGTCGTCACAACACCGCACACACACCCACACAACATCTTGGTTGACTCTAAAGTATCATGTAAATGGCCATAAAACCCGACCTTTGTAGTGCAACGTGGCTCTCTCTCGCTCTATCTCTCCACGAACATGTAGTTGTCTCGTTTCCTCTCCTCAATACATGCATTTCTGGGGCAAGCATATGATCTACAGGCGACTATGCTGATAACCTGTTGAGTTAACTGGCCATGACAGCTCTCAGCCTTGACTAAAATCATGTAGCGGTAGATCGCAGACCGCCGCTTCGGAAGGACAATGTATCCCACTCGCCTGAACTGCTCTCATCCGAGCTGTCATCGGAGTCATCGGAATCGCTATCCTCGTCTCCTGCAGCCGCGGCACACTAGCTTCTGGGTATGGAAAACTTCTGCCGCATGCCAAATGGTAGATTAGAGTACATGTCTGCTATCTGTCATATGAGGCACGGACAATGTTACTACTGGTTCGCGAGAGCAGGCCCCTGGTTTCGGTGAGAAAATAAGGAACATTGGACTCCCCCCCAAGAATATGAGCATAGGGGACTCCCTCTTGGCTCAGCAGTGTTCATTGGCCAATTGGCCATCTTACCTCTCCGTGTCTGGTTCAAGGCTCCCGTCCAACATGCTCGGGTTGCTGCCAAAAATATCTGCCATCTAAGGGAAACAATGGACGGATTCCCCTTCACTTGGCCAAGTCGCCGAGCCCACCGATCAAGTTCCGGCCCTCGGCGAAGGCGTGCCGGATTCTGCCGGTCAGGGTCTTATCCTCAAGGGCCGCAACTTTGTGCATCGCAAGGACACCAGGCACACTCGCCCAAAGAAACTTCAATCAACTTCACCAAGTGAGTTTGTCTCCAGAAGGGGACCTCCAAAAATGGATGGTGTCGCTTTGGTTTCCTTTCCAATTACCAGGCTCAAAAAAGACATACCCAAATCGCCTAATCGTCCACCCAATCCCGGAAATAGAGAACGGCACTCAGGTGTTGATGAGCAGCCGTTCGGAGCTCAACACACTTCACTTCTGGCATGGTCTGGTTTTGTATTCCGCAACACCTCAATGTCAGGACCAGCTTAGGAGGCCATGGTCCGGTAAAAAGTCTGGTGGCTTGGCGTTGTCACTGCTAGTCCCCTACCGGGAACTCAACTCTTTTCGAGGGTTGATGATCAACCATACATCTCATCTTCGCTGGAAAAGCTTTGAAGATTCATCCCCGTGGAAGTGCCCGAGCGAAATGCCGTCCTCGTTGAGGTTGACCTGGCCAAATGAAAGCTGATGGGAGATCCCAGCTCAGACAAGCATTGCCAAGTGAGCCCTCCAAGCGAATTGGCGGATCTGCTTGAAGCTCTTCCTGGGCCCGTTTTTGCTGTGTTGTAAAAAAAAGGTGTTCCACCCTATCCGAAAAATGTTTCGCAGCTGCACATGCCAGGATCCGACCCGACGGCCCTCGCTGATTCACAGGCGTCTGACGCATCTCGGAAAGCCTCCTTTTGAAGCCCGCTCTTCAGCCAAACAATAGGACTCCCCTTCTTGACGTTCTACTGCGCTTCACAAGGCGTCTGTACCTCAACTGAAATGGAGGTCAAACGGTGGTCCTATTTCGAGCCCATCCTATCCCTCGGCCCCCGGCCATCATGGGCTGCTGCGAGTCCACCGCCAGAGAAGACCGCCGCCGCCGCGCAGCCTTGGAGACAGCAAAGGTCCAGATGCAAGGAGATCCCTGAACACACACGAAGGGACCTCCCCCCCGTAAATGGTGTTCCCTTTCGTTGCGCTTTGAACCAACCCAAAAGGCAAAAGGGGAACCGTGATTAAAAAATACGCACATGGCATCAATTACCCCGCTTGCTGCCATGGAAACTTCTTGCTGCTCCTTCGCTTCCGCCACCTTCTCTTCCCAGCCTCACGGCTGAGAAAATCCGGCCAAGAGGGTAGGGGGACACTGTATGATTCTTAAGATAGCCACTGTTTCTTTAAAGTGCTGGGCTTCAAGGCTTCCTTTGGCATCACAAAGAGGGAGTCACCACATGGACAAGCGGCACCCACCGCGCACTTCCAAAAACTTGCCCGCCGGCCCGCGACTGCTCGGGTCTAAATAGATCCATTGCGATCCATCAGCTTTCGGTCTAAGCAGAACCTCAAAACGCCCATGTCCAAAAGCTGCTCCCTGGAAACACCCCAACACATGGCTCAAAATCGCTCGGAACTTCTTCCAAAGCGGCTCTTGTTCAACTCCGCCAGCGCCCCTTCCATGGCAGCGATCTCTTGCTGCCGCAAGCCCATCTCCTCCGTTCAATCGCCGGAGTGCCGACAACTGGGGGGCCATCGAATTGGGTGAGAGGGTTGGGTGGCAGCTTTTTGTCACAACCCAAAGTCCCATGCCATTGACTGCTTGTCCAGACTAGACCCTCATCCCTATGACACCAGGCTAAATCCTTTTCTCTGGCCAACAGGGGGTGAAGGGATGGAGTTCTTGCTTGGGCACATGAGTCACAATCACAACCTGGTAAATGTCTACCCATAATGTAAAGAATTGAAGCGGACAGCAACAATTTTGGGCTGGGACTGGGATTGTTGCTCTGCGTGCTGCATTTCTCCAGCCCTGCCTCAATACTTTTCGCGTCAGGCATCACGCCGCCTGACAGGTGCCATGGGAATGGTTGCCCGACAGCAAGGAATCTCAATGGGCCCTTTTCTCCTGAAAGCGAAGGAATGGGGAACCCAATGAGGGGTACCTGACTCCTTCAGAACTCCACGAATTGATGAATTTTACTGGGCGTGCATTGGCTAAATCATTGCCACTGCAATCTCTGTTTGAGGCGTTCAGGGACTTGCTGACGCGACCCCCCTTTTAGGGCGACACTGTTTGGAATCGGGCGTGACAGCTAAACGTGGACAACTGTGCTGTTTGGTGTGCTGATGCTGACACATTGACTTGACTCATCCCACGGGTTCGAGACCCCCAGACTGATGTGTCGACTCCAGCATACGATAATCCTCCCAGCACATCCCATCCATTCACCCCAGTAACCAACGTGATCTTCCTCACAACGAGAGGCACATCTATGGAACGCGACTCTTTAAGAGGTAAGGCCCCCCCCCATTCATCGATTCTCGATTCGGGATCAGAGATCCTCTAGCCGCCCCTGGCTCATGCGCAAGACCCCGGTGCTCGGACCCCGGCTCTGCATCCCCACAAAGATATTCTTGAGCTTCTCATTCTCTTCACGCAGCTCCCGCATGAGCCGCTCCTGCCAAACAGGGGAAATGATGCCAAAAAAATAGTCGATGTCATTGATGTTCTTGCCCTTGCTTAACAGCACAGAACATGCTGTCTCTTGCCGCCCCTTGCCTGACCAGCTCCGGGCAGAAACACTGCCATTTCCCACTGCGAAGCTACGTAGGGTTCGGGCTGATTGAGATCTCATCTTGGCAACCCCTCTGTTCCTTTGCTTGCAAACATCTGCATCGCAATTCGCTGCTTGGTGCCTATTGCCTCAGCAAGCATGACAGTCTGTCTGAAGCTGTGTCCCCCCGCCTGAGGGTTCTCATTCACCACAGCATGATTCCTCATGCACAGCTGATCAACAGGGGCTGTTCCCAAGCAGTGAAGCACTCAACTTGAAGCATGCCCTGGCTGCAGATCCCTTTCATCCAAGTCTGTCACACCGGCAACGCTTCGCATGGTGCTTGAAGCTGGGCCGCTTGATCTTCTTCGCCCGGTCTGCGTACCGCAGAGTTGACAGGGTCTCTTCGTGGTTGGAAGAGGCCGGCGAGAGAGCGCAAATCCTCCGGGCGGAGCCATGCGATACAGATGCGTTTCTCTGTCGGAAACCACATGAACACAAAACGGAGAGCCCAAACACCCCAGAAACAAAAGCGTTTCCCATTGTTTCCGACTCTCAGTTGGTTGAGCAAAGGGACTGTTTCAGTACAGTATTTGTGGTCAGAATTCAGGCCCCCAATTCATAAAACAAATTGCCCAACAAGGCTCTCATGGGCGCCGCTCATGAGGCAGAGGAACGAGCAAAACGGGCCTACTGCGCGCCTAAAAAATGTTTGGTGATGTCACCTCTGTCCCATGGCCCCCGATATCTCCCGTCATGATGGTCTTGCTGGACCCGCCCAGCGCATTCTGCAGCAGCCGCGTGAGCTTGGACTCGCGGTAGGGGATCAAGACCTACAGCTCCGAAAGTTGTGCCCCGTCCGAAGCATTGCCAATTGGACCAATTCGGGAACGGACAAACAAATGGACATGTCGAAGTCTCGACGTGGCGGCCAACTTTGTCCGAGTGCGGACTTCTATGCGGCTCCAGGCTCCAGGTGTACCTCTTGAGATCAAAGCACGCTGGACACGGACATGGCAACACGCATGGGATTTGTTTTGCTTCTGGCAGGCCCTGAGTGGGCCTAAACGATGTGGCCCAGGCGCATTCTTCTTCTTCTCGGAGCCTTTTTCCGCCAGCTTCTCGATGACGTTGCCTCAGATGGTATCCTTTGATCCGCACCTGAATGATTGCGCCAGGTGTGAAGTAGTCCTTGATGGCAAAAGGAGGCAACTGGGCCAACCCTTTTACTTGTTGGGAAGAGTCATCCAAATATTGGTGGTGGCGTGGGTTGGTGAACAGGAGAGGGCGCTTGTGAAATCACAACAGGGCAGGTGCAGTGGTTCTTGTAGGCGCGGTCCACTCTTGATTCTAACGGGGGCTGGGACCACACGCTGCCCACTGTTCGCCTCAATCCCTAGGCATCCTAAGCCATGGTTGCTCTACTTGAAAAATCGATAGGGTGCCGCTACGGACCAATGTTTGAAGGTCTTGCTCTGGCACACCCTTGTTGTTGGTTGACTTGTTGTTTCAACACACTTGCTTGTTGCCTCTTTTTTGTGATTGTTTTCCTGCCCCTTCGCAACTACAGCTCCTGCCTCCATGAATGGGGCTGACAACACGAAACGGCCAGATTCTATCTCGCTTTGGGGGGGTCCGACATCTGGATCAAAAAAGCACAGTTGCTGGTCCTTGACAGGTGGTATTTTGGCATCTGAGTATGGCGCGAGTACCTCATGCATCGAGCCCACCAAATAAACCGCCAACTCCCAGGCTCTTGGGATAGGCCGAACAAGATGGCTGATTGGCAAGGCATCGAAGCTGGATGAATCATTCACCCAAAGCACAAAGCACGGGTATCGCACGGGCATGTTCACCAACCAAAACGGGTGGAAACGGGTGGAATGGAAGTCGGAAGCCAGGCGCCCAGAGCACTGAGGGACTTGTTGATCATGGAGCCCTCTTTGAGGCGATCTCCGGTAGCGCCCGTCTGCCCGGCCTCGCAAGGGAAGCCAAGCCGCGCGCCACATGAGTCTCTACAGATCTGTGGCCTAACAGCTCGAGTGGCCTTTCTGGCTCCTTCTTTGAAATTTGGGTGATCCCAATCAATTTCGGAACCAGTTGTCCAGTGTCCTTGACTACCAATTGGAGGTTCCTGGCTTTGATTGACCAGGTGTCCCTTTTTGAAATTCAGAGCCACATTTCCACAATATCCTGTCACTCCGCGCCTTCTCACTGCCGGCGAGATCCACCTGGTCAGGAGAGGCCTCCCTCCGTCTCGAGGAAAACACGAGGATTCCATTCCCCAAACCCATGGCTCGGAGCTTCAGGGCAGCCTGATTCCCGGCAATAGAACCCTGCCTACAAAAACATGCGGTGCAAAAAAACATTTCTCGAAACATGACCCCTGGTTGAGAGGGCTCACCTCCCTTAGTCCGCTTTCTGGCTAGCTTCTGGTTGAAAACCTGCGAATGGGGGTTTCATTGGGGAGGAAACATTGGGATGTGTCGAAACCAAGGCCTTTGGCTGTAAAACTTCCTGGTTCCGGCTGCCTACTTTTTCACACACAGCCACTTTTCCTTTCGAGGCGCCAGGTTGATCATGGACACCATGGCCGAGCCATCCTTCACGGCCTGGTGCAAAGGGGCCGAATTTCAGCATGGGCGAAGAGGGCCACAGAAAATGTCTGACGCCGAAAATACAAGTGTCCCTCAAATTGAATGATTGACTCGTCCTCTGTGAAGCAAATGTTGGGACTTTCATGAATGATGAAGACAGCGAAGGTCTCAAGCCTGAAGAGGAACTCCCCCAGTGCTTAAACATCCGCATACGGGTGTCCCTCGAAACAGATGCGGGACTTGACTTTGCAAGCCGTGTTCCCCACCTTGCAGTGACACATGCGGTTGGTTGGGTCACTTCCCCTGCAACAAACAGTGGGTGATCACCACCCTAGGTCTTCCCAAAGAGGAGGCGGCACGTCAGGCGAGTTTTCCCACCTCCATGCGAGCTCCCTTGATTTTGTGATTATTGTGCCACTGTTTGTGGGCCTGTCCCAAATTACGAATCCCTCATGACAAAATTGTCCAGGTCATGGGCCACCGGTCGATTCTTCTTGGGAGGACGGAGAGCGCCCAGTCCATGAAATGACCCGCTCATGCGCCAGCTAGAAATCTCAATGGGGTGGCCTTCCGCCGGCTTTTCTGCCGGCTGCCCTTCTCAATGCGGAGTCCGATGACGGAAAAAAAATGCGAATACACCGAATGCACCGCAAATGACGAACTCTTTCATGCTGAAACCCCCTTTTCGCAACCTCGCCTTGAACTCAATGATCTGCACTGTGTGCGCCCTGCTGGACGTCGCGTTCATGAGGGTGGACCCCACTGTTCCTGACGCACTCCAACCTCCCAAACCAGACCCAGGCCGCCGCGTGGCTTTTGTCCGGATCCCATGACACCAAAAAGGCGATGGAGTTCGCGTGGACCCAACCAAATCCAACCCTTCTCCATGCCCAGTCTAAGCCATCCCTAAACCAAGCCTGCCCCACTCCGAAACAAGCCCAAAACCAACTAAAGCAAGCCCAAACCAATGCCCCAACTAACCCGAAACTGACCGACATCCAATCAACCAAAACCCCACTCTTTGCTTCCCTAAATCAACCCTCTCTCCCAAAACCTCGCGCGAACCAACCCTCTCCGACTCCAAATGAACCTAAACCAACCCTGATGCAACAACAATCCAGCTCTCTAAATAGCTGAGCATGTGAGAATTGGGAATGCGGGTGCAGTTTGTAATTGAGGACGCTTTGGCGGACATCAAAAATCGGTGAGGCAACATTTTGAGGTGGTTCCCCAGAATTAATGGCTATGTCAGCCACGTCGCATCCGCCCCCCTACGCATTCCAAGCTTCTGTGGTTGGTGGCTTCCTCAATGGTGGTCTCGATGGACTGCGAGAAACGCGCCACGCACTACCCTCTTGTGTCAAGAGCCCATGTGGACGTCTTCTGTTAAGGGTAGCATTTTTATGTGTTGTCTTATAGGGAAGCCAAAGGGAAACCATATTATTATTAGGGGTTCCTCCACAACCGACACCCTGCCATGATGACTTTGGTTGCTCAAAACGAAGGGCCCTGGTTTTAAACCAGGGAAGCGGTGCGAAGGTTGACACCGGCCAAGGGACCCTTGCCGGCGAGCCTAAATGGTTGCACTTTTCAGTTCTGAATTTCCCTCACTTTCCCTTTTCCAGACAAAATATGCTCTAACTGCATCTCAAAACGTGCGCTACCAGTCCCTGAGGGCTACACCTCCCTCAGAGGGTTCTCAGAACGCCGAAAAGGGGCAATGCTGTAGTCAGGGTCAGCCAAGTCCAGCGAAACTGGTCTGATTTAGAAGAAGGGGTTCGCTTGCAATAGGAGATGTATTTTTGCAGGCAACCAAATCTAGCGTCTTCCCGGCATCCTAGCATCATCAGATTGCATGTGAAGTAGAAACCCCCGCCTTGAGAACGAACCAACCGGGGTCCCAACTCGTTTGCTCCCAAAGCAAATACAAGTCCACTGCCTTCCCCAGCCACAAGGCTTGCTCCGCAGCGCCTCGTAGCTCTCCACCGGCCGCTTGATCACACCATCGATGTAGATGCCCAGGGCCTGGCGCGAAAACGCCCGCAGCCTGTCCCCGGCCGAACGTCGTGACTTCCGTGCAATGCCTCGTTTTTCAGGGTATCACACCCGAATTGAGCCTTGGGAAGGTCCTTACCCTGACAGCCAAAAACGAGCAAAGCGGACCCAAATGTCACTGCAATTATCCTCTTTCTGTCCTTACATAAAATCGACAAGCAACTTATCCCAGCGTATACACAGAAACTCACCTTCACTTGTTCGCTCCTGGCGGTCTGTGGTTGGATGTAGCCTCGCAATGCACATTCGTTGGCGTCTGTACAATTGGCCACCTGGCGGTTGAGGTCTTCGCCTCCACTACCGCCTGCCATGTACAAGCCTGCTCTCTTAAAGACCACGGGCGGGAGCGGTGGGTTTCAAAAAGGAAATCTAAATTGCTCGAACCGCACATGGCTGAAATATATGCGGTTCTGCGCTGCTTGTCCTTGCACACATTTCATGTGTTACATGATAAGCCACTTACCCCAGCGTACACACAGAAGCTCACCTTCACTTGTTCGCTCCTGGTGGTGTGGTTGGATATCATCCTCGCAAAGCTCGCCGTGCGCTCATTTGTTGCCAAGTGGGCAAGAATCCTCTGCCGCAGTCTGGCCATGCGGTCTGGGTGTGGCAATGGCCTGGAGGTTGGGCCTTGGAGGCCATCTTCGCCTGTCTCTCTGTCTGCGGCCCCCATATCGTCGACGGCCCCCATATCGTCGACGAAGTGCGCGGCTGGCACCAACGCCATGCATCTGGCGAGCCAAACAAGTGCGGTGGCTCGGTTAAAGCACGCGACGGGTGCGAAAAGGCGTCTCAACTTCCCAAGCTTGGACCACTTGAGCACACAACCTGTCACCGCAAGGGCCTCGCTGTCAAAGATCCCTGGACGTCAGACTTTTGCGTCGGAAGCATCATGGACACCGTCTCTCCTTCTGTGTCTGCGCAAGTTCACACTCTCGCAGCATGCACCAGACACCAATGATTGCCCCGTCCGCAATGCGCGGTGCCCTGGCTTGGGTCAGACACACAGAGGTCAGGATGTCTACTGCTCCAGCCAGCAGACCTGCGTCAAACTGTCCTTGAGTCGGTCAGGACCAAGGCCCCTCCTAATCAAGCGCACGGCTTCTTTGATCATGGCCCGGAGAAAATCGATCACAGCTATCCCCAGAACCCGAACCTGACGCTGCACTGCTGCCTGGAAATATTGCATGCGTGAGCGATATCGCCCTCGAGGCCGCCACCGCTGTGATGTTTGTTTCGCTCCAGGGAAAATCTGGAACCTCCCACGCCTGGCACACCTGCCTCCAGAATCTGCAACTGCTGGTCTGGACTGGTCTGGAGCTCCTGGACAAGACAGCATCCTGCAGCTCCTCTAAAGCAGCCTGCCGCTCAGAAGGCCTGGCAGCTTCCATGGCCGCGCTGGCGGAAGCCCGCTCCCGCCGTGTCGTCTCAGGTAGATCTCTCCTAGCTGACCTGGCTGTCGCTTGCGGAGGGGCACTACCATGCAGCAAAAGGTCGATTTCCCACTGCTGCGCGCCCTTGGCCAGGAGCGCTGGCGCAACCAGAGTGTTACATGAGCAGCCCTTTCTCCCTAAGAGTCTGCCACACTGGATAACGTGTGGAGGACGAAGTAGGTGTCGATCAGCACTCACAACCTCAGTGTCCTCCAGGATAGGATGTCACGGCTCCATGGTCCTCCTCTTCAAAAAGGAAATCTAAGTTGCTCGAACCGCACATGGCTGAAATATATGCGGTTCTGCGCTGCTTGTCCTTGCACACATTTCATGTGTTACATCCCAAGTGAGGAAGCTGACCATCCGAACCTCCACCAACAGAACGATTTTGACCATGCCACATGCGGCTGAGTGTAAGAACCCAAAATCCAAACGGCCCCCAAATCGCAACCTCCTACGTCCCTAAAAGTGCAGTAAGTCACCCTTCGCTAAAAGCTAGTAACTCCTTATCTTCCGACTTGGGGGCTGTCTCAATGCCAGCTTCAAATCATCCAAAATCCGCCCAAAAAAACGTTTGGAGGTCGATGGATCCTCAGCCCGAACCCTACCCCCAACTCACCCATTCCACATGAGGCCAGCACCTTGGACTCTCCTGAGCGAGAGCACAAAAATCTAGCCGGGACTTGCATGTGTTTGGTTGCCTGTAAGAGTTCCATGCAAGCGCTAGAGAGTCTTTGTCTCATTTGAGGGGCAATCAACAAGACACAACCTCCAAGGATCCACCCAGACGACCTTGAAAGGTTCTGGACGGATGCCGTCAATTACAAATAACACATCCTTGCGTCCGCACTTCTGCACAAATTCGCGTGCGACCTGAAACTGGGATCCTTAAGTACGAGAATAGTTCAAAGGTATGCAATGTTGCTTCTTTCAAGTAAATGCTCTCCCCTTTGCTCAAGCGGCTTTTGGCTGCACAAAATGCAAGCACTCCCTTGGACAAGGAAATCTGCAGTTTGATGCAAGGCACCCAGCTCGCTGGGGTAATGAGATCAAGGCGGGCCCGACGTAATTGCGTTTTGCGGCTAACGCCACAACGCGCCTGCAGCAATGTCTTAAGGCTAAACTGATATCCAGACGGAGCTGATCAGAGTTTAAGAGCGGCTCGGCCCCTCCGGCGCTTGCATCGAACCCATCAAGACAAACAGGTCATGGTGGGCATGCGTCGAAATGACGATTTGGATCTCAAAATGGCTTCGGTCTCCTTTGTTATCTCCACAACAATAACCTTTAAGAGGGTACACCCCGGTACACCCCCCTTCATGGCTTTCTCAGGCATCCTCCCTGCAGTCAGACTTCCCGAGCTTGCCCATTGACCGCAAGTAGATGTTGTCATGGCCCACATGAATTTGATACTTGGGTGCCTTAGGCCAAGAGGCGAATCTCCAAGCCCTTCTTTGGTCTCTGCTGGGGGTCGATAAGCAAGTCCTGGATTGCCTGCACGACGCATGGCCGTGTATGACTGGACCGATGGACCCCCGTCACTCAAGCGCCAACTTTGCAAAGAAAGCCGCGGCGCACCCTTGCAACGCCGCAATGTGTGTGTGTGTGTGTGAGTGAGTCAGTCAGTGAGTCAGTGAGTCACTAAGTCAGTGAGTCACTGAGTCACTAAGTCAGTGAGTCAGTGAGGTCAGTGAGTCAGTGAGGTCAGTGAGTCAGTGAGTCGGTGAGTGAGTCAGTGAGTGAGTCAGTGAGGTCAGTGAGTCAGTGAGTCAGTGAGTGAGTCAGTGAGGTCAGTGAGTCAGTGAGTCAGTGAGTCAGTGAGTCAGTGAGTCGGTGAGGCAGTGAGTCAGTGAGTCAGTGAGTGAGTGTGTGTGTGTGCGCGAGTAACAGTGGTAGAGAGAACTCCCATTTTAGCCATTGGGTGGAAGTCAGTCAGTGAACTATGGACTTCTGTAACAGCTCGTGCAAAGTGTGCACGTGGTCTCCGTCCTCGTTGTAGATCTCAATCATTGAGACGGTGACTTCGTACCTTACGTGTAACGAGCTGCAAAGAGGGCTGTCCAAAAATCCCCCCCCTTCAATGCAATGGCCATCCCATTAACCCGGATGAGCACCATATCAGTTGACCCTACCAGACGAGCCAAATGAGTTTGCAGTCTTTCCTAAAAGACAGGATCCTCTTCAAAATGAAAACCCACTTTAAGATGGTTGCAAAAGTAAAACTCAAAGCAAGCAAACACAGAGTTGGGTGCCTTGTCTTGGCAACTACTCTGACTCTACCTTGATGAGGCTCTCCGCGCTAGGGCTGCTAGGGCCCCTGCCGCTTGGTGGGATCCTTCTCCTTGCCGATGCGGGAGAAAATCTCCTGGGTCGACATTGGGCAAAGCAACACTGGGGTAACAATGGCCGCTTGGAGTGGCCTTTTGTCATTCTCTGGAAACCCGCACAAAGGTTGGTTGCAGTGGTTTGAGGCCAGTACAAACCTCCTTAGCAAGAATCCATGGAAAGCGAGCACATCTATGTAGAGCAAGCGTCTTGGAATGGAGGCATCAATTACCCCGACTGCTAGGGTTCATATGCGGAGCCTCCCAGTTTTATGCTCCAAATATACCAGAAGAAACCGACCACGTAGGGGGGGCGTCAAATCAAGTGCCAGATTCGACTTGGCACTGTGCCAGGTCCTCGCATGAGATCGGCACAATGCCCTTGTTGTTGCCATAGCCTTAGGAAAGGAGCTTTGAAAAAGAAAAAAACTGGCTTGGGTCGCGACAAGGTCAAAAAAAAGCAGCGCGAGGTGAAAGCTGCCTTGGGTCTAGTTCATGGTTCCACGCGGCCTCAAAAGTGTCTGCGTCTTAACTTCCTCCTCCCATCAAAGCCAAAGTGGAGCCAGGCGACCAACCATAGAATAGCTCTTGCCAGCTCCTTTCAGGGAAGTGGCTGTGCTTGAAAACCTTGTACGGGACAAGTGGTTTATTGACCGTTCATATCAAACCCAAATGCATCCATCAACTTGGCCGTCTTTCACTTGGCTTCTCTGGTAAGGAAGCTCTATCTGCACAAAGCCGCTCAGTTGTCCCAGGTCCTGTCTGACCATAGGCAAACAAACAGCAGTGGAAGCCATTCCAGGCATTGTCCAGAACTCTCTGCCCAAAAGTATCGAACCTCAGCTGCACGAATCTGTTTGCCTACAGACATTGTGACATGTCTATAGCGAATAGTCCACTCTCCGTTCACGAGTGTCCCTGTGTGAATTGCGGGCTTGCTCTCCATTTAAACATCCACAGTCCCCCCCTGCAATCAGCTTGCAAAGTCGAGAGCTAAATGAAATCCGATGTATAAGATCGGAGATCACAAAAAAAAAAACTGAGCTCGGCACACGTATCTCTGATCTGCGTATTTACCTCAGCTCGCAGTCGAAAAACCAGGGATCCGTTGCCGAATAGGGAATCTTTCTAGATGGTTCAGAGGGAACCTCAAGACGGCTCCAAAGCCACCCGCACTTCTGACAGCCGCACACCCAGTGCTGACAAGCTGCAAGAGTCACTCGGCAAGTGCCTTCCTCCTCTCAAACGAAGCTGTTCAACCGCCGGAAAATTCACATGGAACTCCAAAGGAGACTGCTCCTTTTCTTGCGGCATGTTGCAAGTCCCGGGTTTGCGGAACGTTTATGTCTTTAGTTGTTATTCTTGAAACAAATGTGCCACTTGCATGTCCGGTGGAAACCCGGTGGATTGCTCTCCGCAAGGAATGCCCGGGCTGGCCCATACCAAGCCTTTTGGAAAAAACTGTAAACCAGACATGATATTAGCGCCGTCGTCTGCTGGGACTATTGGGTCCAAATGACACAGCGGCTCGTGCAAAAAGTCAGCAACTCACATCGTCCCAATAAAGACTTAACACGTGGGGCCGTGATTCTGCCAGTATCAATTATCAGGCACTGCATTTCAAGATTGACATTTGAAAGCTAAGAAACTTATCACCAGAAACCGAGACTTTGGGCCCAGTGATGAGTCCAGTTGGAATGCTATTGCAGTCTAGTGGGTTCCGATGTTGGTTCCATCAACCCCAAATGACTCTGGCTTGCAAATATGTCACGTTTCAGCTGAAACCCCAATAGGTGCATCTGTTATTTGGAGCCAAACCCAATCCCCTCAGAGCTGAAGCAGAGACGCTTCCACCCACCGGCCGCAGGTAGCCAGTGCCGTCATCCTCGAAGCCGTCGTGGCCTTCAACGAAACGCGCAACCGAACCCTCCAGCCAAACTGTTCAAACATCCTCCTTCTATTCAGAAAATGTCCTCTCCTGGAATGAACCCCCGGAAAAGGCTCACAGTGTCTGAAAGTCCAAGCAAACCGGAAACCAGAAAGATCTGTGGCTCCTTGGCCAATTTTCTGAAGATGTGTCTGCAACTGTGCGTACCCAAATAGTTTTGTGTGCGGTAAGAGCAAAACCGCATATGGGGCGGTCCATCGATCCATAGAGAAGTCGCTTGATGGGCCAAGCTGCTCCAGAAGGACTCGTCAAAGGTAAACCTCGACCCGCGCTGCCAAAATCTGTTCTCCCGTGGGAATCGCCCAAAAGTCTGCCAGCCGCATTGCCGGGCATAGATGTTAGCAAATCGACCAAAATGAACCGAGAGTCCCGATTACAACATGTAAATGATGGTTAATACCCGCCGGCAAGGTGCATGGATCCTTCAAATGAATTGGCATGCCCAGCGGATGTTGTATGAAGATGCCCCAACCGCCCAAAGCCAGCTTTGTTGGTTGGACCAAGATCTTCGGTGGCGGGGGGACAGCCCAACTACTGTTCTGAACCCCTAAACCACATCCATGTCCTCATCAGAAGTCAGGGCAGCAGAACAAACGCAGTCATAGCACGACGTGCTAACCATCAGAAGCCTCCAAGCTGCTCACCTTGCTAGCAAGCCATTGCCTGCTTAAGCCAAGCATCCAAGAAACCTTGAATCTTAACAGCTCATCAGCTTGAAATTCTTGACCAAATAATTAAGATGGCAGGCACACGAGGGCAGGAAACGTTCCCATCCAACCTAATTTCAACCTGGCACTAAACCCGAAAACACTGATGAAAGTTCTACACCGCTAAGCGTGTGTGTCTCTGTTTGAGAACTAGGGCCCCTTCTTGATTAGTTTGAAACAAAACCATAGGATACCAAGCGCCAACCACTACCACCCCCATCCGCGCCCTGGAACGAACAGGATGTGGAGAGGTTGGAACAATCAGCGCAGGAGGAGGCTGCGCTTACCCTTCCAAAGTAAAGTTTCACAATGAAAAGGTTCCCAAGGAGTACGGTCAGGTTCAATCTAAACTGGACACTTTCCAAAAGCCTGGGGCAGTGGAGTGATTGAGGGCCGGCAAACAGCCCTTTCTGTGACATGGGTGTGTTGAGTACCTCCACACTGGTGGGTTTTGCCTTCGGTTTCCCTTGTAGAAATGGAGGGTATTCCCTTTGATACCAAAAGGACACCAAAGGTTTCCCCCTCCTCTGGAAAAAGGAGAACGTCCTATGGAAGCGTGCCAATCTCCCAAAGCGAGAAGCGCTTTCTCGTCGCCCGAGTCCACATTCCGGATCCGCGTGGTGGGCCCTCGAGGCTCGAGGCAGCACCATGGTGCATATGAATATGCTTGACCCAACCAGCTGGCTAGTGAGTTCATTGATTAACTAGCTTTTTGGGTTGCTTCTGCCAAAACAGTGCCTTGCAAATGTTCCGAGTTACTAGCTGGTAGTCCGTTGGGTAGTTAGCTTGCTGGGTAGCTGGCTGATTCTTCAGCTACGTATTTAGCTACGCTTGGCAAATGCCAGACAGAAAAGTAAACAAGAACAAGAGCTTCCTCTTTACAAACAGTTGGTGTAAACCATATTAACGAGGCTCCTGCCCTGTTGCAATGTAAACATTGCAGCATTTGAGGACCGTCTCTTCAACGGGCACTGACATCTAGGCAAGAAAATTGTTTGACCAACCAGGTCCAAAAATGTCGCTTTGCCTCCAAGTCTCTCTCATGCACCTCGTGAGCCAATGTTGCCTGCTTTCATGGCCCCTCATTCATTCCCTGCCTTCCATTTCAATGCAGGTCACCGCATTCAAGTTGATCTCCCGGTCATTGAAGGGCCTGGAGTACTAGAGGAAAAGGACAGAGTAGCCAATGGCCCAAACTGTGATGATATTTGATTGCGACGTAATTTCACGCAAGTGTTTCAAATCTTGAGCCCAGCCCACAGGTGTTGCGTCTGTCAGTGGCCGACTGAAACGTATGCGAACCCTTTAGTGGCTTGCGATGGGTCATCCGCGGCGCGCTCGCAAACCTGGAACAAGCCAAACTGCGTCAGGTCCTTGGACCCTCGACATGCTTCTGATTTACAGCCGGTTCAGCTGGTGCCGCCAAGGGATCTACCAAAAGTCGTATCCATTTTGTGGTTTTGCACTCTGCATCAAAATCTGCTTGCGAAATTGCCCGCCTCACACGCACGCCCACCACGACCGCTTCACCCGCGCCGGCCATCTGGGCGCTTTCCTTTCCAAGCTAATGGCCTTCGTTTGGGCCCGGAAGGGGCCCAACCCCAATTCAATAAAGATGTCTAGCGCTTATTTCTTTTGTAATTGGAGAGTCGCAGCCATTCAAACAAGTTTGTGTTCATGTTTTTTGGATTATCTACCCCGTTGAAGGCAAATGGACAATGCAACCCTTTTCAATTCCTGATCAACCTCAAGCTCTTTCTCTAATGCAAGTGATGAATCGAACACTCAATTGAAGCCTGGACAATCCATGACACTCGATCCCAAAAACTTACTTTTGATATGGCACGACATGGACTCCTGAATGGCAGCGGACGATTCAATTACGGGCCAGCTTTCTGCCCTGACAGCACCAACAGCCGTGCAACAGCCATTTCTTATGCTGGTACAAAACCACATCCACGAAACATCTCCTCATAATTGCTCAGCATCTTCCACATGCGAGCCAGGCTCCGCACTCAGCTGTGTTCACTAGGCGCATGGGATCTGCATGCTGCTTATCAAGGCCCATGTGATTCCTTTTCTCAAAGGAAGTGCCAATGACCATCGACTGTATACTTTCATCACTGTGCAGCTACTGAGTGAGGGATGCCCCATGTTGTGACTTCAGAGGAAGCAAATTGTAAACCATGATTTGTGCGTGTCTGTGTGTGTGTGTGTTTTTTGGCTGGGGTGTTCCGTTTTTGAATAACGCTTCGCTCAAGCCTTGCAACCCAGAAAAACGCGCGCTGCTGCTTCGCAGGAATATTCTGCACCAAGGACGATTACACGGTTGTCCAAATATATATATATATATATACATATACATATATATAGAGAGAGAGAGAGAGAGAGAAAGGATATACATTGTATGCAACCCATCATTGACTATCTGTTCAAAGAAGATTGGTCCAAGGGCTTAAGTAATCCACCCTAAACGACCCTAAACCACCCGAAAAGCATTACGTAAGCTGCTGAAAGCGTTACGTATACACCGAAAAGCATTTTTTTGCGCCCAAAACCTTATGGGCCTGTTGGCCATTGGCAAGGACCCTTCCTTGTCCGCGTCGTTCGGGCCCTCTCCGGAAACATTGCGCATCGACAAGCTGCATCCAGCGTCCACTGCTCAGGGGGCTGGATTAATATAATCCTCCTCCAGCTCTCCCTCCACAGCATGTGCTTGCAAGATCGCATCGTCAAGGTCGACCGGGCGGGGCTGGTAAGCAAGGTGCTCCAGCCATTCTCGAAAGAATGCGTGGTTCGGCCACACGGCTCCTTTCAGCCCCAAAAAATACTGGTTTGGATGTATCAAGCAGGGCCTCGCGGCCAAGCAAACACGGTTTCACACTGCCGAAATTTCACGTCCTCGTCCGTGGCCTCTGCGGGGAGTGCGGAAGCCGAATCGCCCGCAGCGGCGTGTGCTGCAGAGGCTGCGGGTTGGGTGTCCTCGCTGGACTGCACAAAGTCGTCCAGGTAGAAGTGGCTCGTGACGAACAAGGTGGCCTTGCGGTCCGGCTGGTCCAGGGGCAAGGGCTCCCCCCGCTCGATGAAGCCGGCAACCTGCTCGAAGCGCGGGGGCTGGTTGAAGCCGTGGGACCGAAGCGTCTTCATCTCTTTACCGGTTACTGCGCGGCAACTTCGCCCGCGGCCTGTTCGACGCCCCGGCGATCGGCGCGCGCGTAGCGTAGCTGCGGGACCTGTCGGTGCACAGCCTCCGTCAGCCGGCTCACGTCGGCTGTCCCTCCTGGGCCAGCCTGCGCTCCCCCAGCCAGTTGTTGAAGGCCCGCGCCTCCTCCAGTTCCCGCTGGCGCTTCAGCAGCAGCGGCTGCAGGTCGTAGCTGGGGTAGGTCTTGCGGAACCACCGAAGCATCTGCGGCTCGTTGCGGGGCTCTATGGACATCATCCTGCTTTATCATACCAGCACGCTTGCGCCTGCCGTTAATCGGTCGTAGGCCGACTGCCTCTCCAGCATGCGCATGGCGCGCTCGCTCGGCCAAGGCGCTTCTTCGGGCTTGGGTCGTACCTTGGGCTCGGGCCGTACCTCGTTGCATACCTCGCGCTCGGGCTGTACCTCGGGGCTCTAACTGTACCTCGGCCTCGGGCGCTGCCTTGGGCATGGGTGCTGCCTTGGGCTTGGGCGCCGCCTTGGGCTTGGGCGCTGTCTTGGGCATGGGTGCTGCCATGGGCATGCGTGCTGGCTTTGGCTTGGGGGGCCCTCTCAGCCTCTTGGGTATGGGCCCCCCATTCGGCAGGGCCAGCTTGGGTGGCTTGGGCTTGTTCTTGCTGCCCGGGGGCCTGCCTCTTGGCCTTGGCGCCGGTTGCGCTTGCTTCATCGGTTTTTTAAAACGAAATATGTTTTTTTAAAAGACCTTCGGGGGATTGCGAGCCCCTCAGTCGGACGACTTGCCCTCTTCCAGGTCTGTCAGTCGAAAGCGCAGGTGTCTCAAGGGTGATGGGGCCCTCGGAGCCTCCACGATGGTGCTCTTCAGCGTGTTCTTGGACAGGATGTCTTCCAGCGTTGGCCGGCTGGGCGCAGCGCAGGTAGACCTCACTGTATGCCATCATCCGACCACGCTGACCATCACCGGGGCGGCCTCCGCGGGCCCGCTGGACTGCGAGACCCTGGACTGCACCTTCACGGCCACGAGCGGCGGAGTGTCGACGGGCAGCGTGGTGTGCGGCGACGTGACGAGCTCGGGCACGGTCTCCACGCCGCAGCTCTTCGCGTCCAACACGCTCACCGTGACCAACACCTCCGACTTCTCGGACGATCTCTTCTTGACGAAGAACTGGGCGGGCTGGAGCAAGCTGCAGATTTCCAACAACAGCGCGGCCTCCGACAGCGGCCCGGAGCTGCAAGTCGGCCGCCGAGGGGCCGAACGACCGGCTGCAGGCCGACCTCATCAACTTCAGCCAGAACACCCGGGGGAAGACGAGGTACGGCCTGGTGTTGATGGACGTCTTCACCCGGGAGGCTGCCGTGGAACCTCTGCAGAACAAGAACGCCGAGACGGTCGGCCGGGCCACCAAGCGCGCCGCGCGGGGGCTGACGGGGGACGACAAGAACTTTGTGGTCACGACAGACCTGGGCAACGAGTTCGCCACGCTGGACCGGGAGCTGCCCGAGGAAGCCGTGCACCGGACGAAGCGGCCCGAGGACCGCAACGCCACGGCCGTGGTGGACCGGGGCATCCAGACGCTGAAGAAGGACCTGGCCAGAGGGTGGCGCGCAAGGGCGGGCAGTGGAGCGACCACTTGGAGCGGGCGGCCGGGGCCTACAACGCCCGGCCGCACGAGACGGTGTACGGCGCGCCCGTGGACGTGGAGAAGCAGCCGGCCACCGAGTTCCGGCTGCTGCAGGACAACGCCGACAAGTTCCAGCACAACAAGGACCTCACAGACCGGCGTGTGAAGGCGGTGGAGGACGCGGGCGCCTTCCGAGCGCCGACGAACGCGGCGAGGAGCTTCAACCCTCAGCACGGCGACGTGCAGCAGCTGCGGGCCGTGGACTCCATGACCGTCCGCAGCACGGAGGGCCGGGAGACCCTGCTGAAGCTGGCGCTGCCGGCGCCGCAGGGCAGCGGCAACGCGGCGGGCCGGCTGACGAGACGGCGCAGGCCGGCAGCTGTGAGGCAGCTGGACGACTTCCTGGCGCCTCCGAGGCCCAGGACCCTCGACTAGCCTTTTTGCAAAAAAAATACTGGTTTTTTTGAGGCATTCAGGCCTCCCTGCGTCCAGGGATGTCAGAAGCAAGCCCTTTTTGGCGCAAAAACAATTTGATCACACTCAGGCGGAATTGCCTGATCTGATCGAGCGAAAAAACTGGCTTTGAGGCGTTCTTCAGGGTGAGGGGGAATTCACGGACTCTGAAGCCACCCTTTTCGGGAAAAAACCGTTTTGAGGCTGCGCAGGCTCCGTCCGGACCCTGCTCAAGCCCTTTTTGGCAAAAAACTGTTTGAGCAGGCTCCGTTGGAAGTGTCGCTCAGAGGTGCTTTTCGGTGTGCGTTTTTTCAGTTCGTTTTCTGCGCAGTGCAAATTTTGCTGGTTAGTGCAGTGTTGACATCCTTTCCCCTTCACGCCCCCCAAAGCTGATTGACATCCTTTCCCCTTCACGCCCCCCCAAAGCTGACTCACCCCCCCCCCCGTCCCCTTCGCACACCCCCCAAAGAAGAAGAAGAAGAAGAAGACAACAGCCCCTTCCCCTTTGCACACCCCAAAGCTGACTCACGCACCCGCCCCCCAAAAGAAGAAGACGACAACAGCCCCGTCCCCTTCGCACCCCCGGAAGCTGACTCACGCCCCCCGCCCCCCCAAAAAAAAGAAAGCAGGCGACAACAGCAACAGTTTCACACGCAACCCCAAAGCTGACTCGCCTCCATTTCCCCTTCGCACCCCCGGAAGCTGACTCGCCCCCCTTCCCCCTTCACACCCCCCCCCCCAAAAAAAAGCAGACGACAACAGCAACAGTTTCACACCCAACCCCAAAGCTGACTCGCCCCCCCGCCCCCCCAAAAAAAGAAAGCAGACGACAACAGCAACAGTTTCACACCCAACCCCAAAGCTGCGGAAGCTGACTCGCCCCCTTCCCCCTTCGCACCCCCGGAAGCTGACTCGCCCCCCTTCCCCCTTTGCAGCCCCGGAAGCTGACTCGCCCCCCGCCTCCCCCAAAAAAGAAAGCAGACGACAACAGCGACAGTTTCACACACAACTCCAAAGCTGACCCGTCCCCCGCACCCCCGGAAGCTGACTCGCCCCCCTTCCCCCTTCGCACCCCCCAAAAAAAAAGCAGACGACAACAGCAACAGTTTCACACCCAACCCCGGAAGCTGACTCGCCCCCGTCCCCTTCGCACCCCCGGAAGCTGACTCGCCCCCCTTCCCCCTTCGCAGCCCCCGAAGCTGACTCGCCCCCCTTCCCCCTTCGCAGCCCCGGAAGCTGACTCGCCCCCCTTCCCCCTTCGCAGCCCCGGAAGCTGACTCGCCCCCTTCCCCCTTCACACCCCCCAAA